AATGTGGTTGAGTTGCATTGTGAAGCATGCAGTGTTGATGCTTTGTCGGTCTCTTGGACATGATAGCCACGCCATGCCATGAGCTCTTTGTGGGATCGTGTCTTGCGCCTGTGCCCACGTCGGCTGCATGCAACAGCAGTGCACAAAGCCCATGAAGCTACTGTTCGGCGCCGCAAGACCATGCGGCAAAGCCCACACAGCGGAAAGGCCTGCGGCATAAATTTGGGTGCTATGTTGACCCCCCAACTCAGCAATGATGGGAAGGACTGGGCAAGTACTGCAGAGCTCTTTGCCATTTGTGTTGCAGACTGAAGGTGGGTGTGGGTCGGTATGGGACTTGATTTTGTGTTGCGGTTGCCGGTTGCGCGTTCGCTTGTGTTGGTTTTCTTGTTTCTTTGCAGGTTCCGATCTTCTTGGTCCTCTTGATTATAGTGTCAACCTACCTAGGGCCATGGGATGACTGAAACGATTGATCTCATAAGGTGTTGGAGCCTGAGGCTGTGACACGACAAGAATGCAGCTGATGACCAGCCTCTTTTGATGCCTTGCACGTTACATGAAGCAACTATGTAGTCTATTGATGTAACATGTTTGTCATGTTTGGCGCCGCTTGGTGGGTGATTGTCAGGATTGCTTGAGGGACACGGGAAGACATCATGTGAATTCTTGAAATTTGGATTATTTGGCTATGCAATTCTGTGGTATCTAAGCAAAGACCTAGTCAAAGACCTATATACCTGTTTTGTGCCACGTGATGCATGATACTTCATTCTCATAAGGTGTTGGAGCACAAGACTTGTGCAGTGACACCAAGCGATTGAGACTGATGGCCTTGACAGAGAAGCAATGAGCTTGCTTTGCGCGGCCTAGTTTGTAGGAGAGAGTGCCACTCTGTTTGGCTTTGCCGGAGCAATTGCTAGAGGTGTGCCCAAGGATGGATAGAGACACAGACCATTTGCATGGCAGTGAGGCATTTGTTCCAAAGCATTCAAAAGTTCAGCCTTACGCCGCCCGGGGGTACAGGTCAATACTCCAAGAGGGAATTCGGGTATGTGTGTGTTCTTTGTGGAGACCTCCCAGACACCCTGGCCCTGGCTGGGTTGACTGGTCGATTTTCCGATTCTTCCAGGGGGTCGACCGACGCTGGGTGTCGGTCGTCCTACTATTTCAACTACTCCCCCACAAACTAACAAATAACTTGAGAATTGACCCGTGGAAGACTATTTTCCTCAACAACCCAGTAGTTTGGGGGTTCCATGTTAATCTGCAGGGGTATACACCCATTTCAAGCAGATGCTTCAAATCACCTCGCTCACCCAGTCCCAGGCAGTCTCCTCAGTTCTGGACCTTTGTCGCGGCAGTGGAGTCCAGGGCATCGTGGCGCTGCGGTACTACGCGCAGAGCGCTAGCTTCGTAGCCGGGGGAGCTCAGTGGTTGGGTATGGTTGACCTGGTATGGCTTGGAAGCGGCAGTTTCAACTCCAACGAATCTCCTTGGATGCAGGCTGGGTGATGGTTCCAGAGATGTTGTTTTAAACCTTTTGCTAGGATTATGTGAACCTACTGACTAGTATTTGTTTCAAGTGAGTTGAAGCCACCAACCAGGGATATGCAAGGAACATGACCAGGCTTTGAGCCTACGTGCTTTTCAGGGGTTTTTGATTGTCTAGAGCCACATTGACATGGGCTGCATGAGGAAACGCTTCAATGAGAGGAGTTGTGGTGAGATTTATTTGGAATCAGATATGGCTGGCCATCCACCTAGCTCGTCAAGGCCTTTAAGGGGTCAGAACGACCCCACTTGGTTCCAAACGGCGTCCTAGTTTGATGCACAAGTTGACAACTTGTTGTGCATGTAAGTATCCCTCAGAACCTCAGAATGCTATCGTCACATAGTTCTATCGTTGTTGAGGAACCGGGCAATTCATGGCAACAAGTAAAGGCCCTGCGAACGAACGCAAAGTCCCTGTAGACTCAAGCAAAGTCAACTGACAAGTATTGGTATGTTTATGTTCAACCCTTACTTGGTATGATTGAACCCACTCACTCATATGTTTCAAGCGAGTAGAAACCACCAACCGGAATTTAGGCTTGTGGATGTCACCAAAACGTACTCTCCTGCAGAGGACCACATGGACATGGCCCCCCAATGACGGGTCAACTGACCGTCGGGGTCAATGGGATCGTTTAATCCCATTGTTCAACTTCCAGCTTTGTAGTTGGTTAAGCGAATGCGTATAGTTATAGAAGGAATGTGCTTACGCCTTTGTGGAACTTGAGGGAATAGGAGAAATGGAGAATTCATGGAGCCTCAATCATACAGAGAACTGGATTCAATGTTGGCAGTCCCTCAAATTCGGAGCAATCTTTGTGACCAGAATTGGTTAAGAGCAACTGACCTTGCCCACACTGTATCAGTCTTGCACGCTCCATCCTTACCTTACTTGACTGACTCGATTATGTTTTGTTGATGACAGTTGGTACTCACTTTCTACACTCAGTGACGCCTGACCTCTGGCCCTCTTCAGGGCGCTGTTTTTTCAGCGTGCCCGCGCTGCTGGAGTTTGGCCCATTCGCCCTAAAAGTGCGTTCAGCAGTGGCAGTGAACTGTACTGCTGCATGAAAACGGTATGAGGAAGACCTCTATCAGTGGCCGTTAAACCCATGAAACATAGAGGTGTTCACAATTGTTCACATTGTTTTACCCACACAAAAATAGGTTGTTTTGCCAGGGAACATCCAGGTCTTTGATCGTTTGTGAGGCCCCTGTGTTTATATTTGTCTTTCTTCAAGTGATAACTTGGCTGAACACATCCACTTTTCTACGCCGGCGGGCCTGGGAGTGTTGCCGTTCTTCCCACGTCGTTGCTCGGGGTGATGTGCCCGTGGATGTGACAGGGGCACCGACTACCTCCTTCCTCCATGCATAGCACCCTGTCCTCCATGGAACTGCTGGTATAGCCTCTTAGTATCATGGGCCTGGCTCAACCTTACTGATGAACATGTATAGCTGGTTCTAATCTGTTTGGCATGAAACTTGGTCTTCAGCCGGCTCAATCGGGATGGCAACCGACACGACAAGCAGATGGAAGAAACGCCAAGCCGGCCAAAGTATATCGGACTTCTTCGGAGTTCTTCTTCATGAGGGCTTGAGAAGTCTACTACAAGTCTACTCCAAACAATGCGAAGAAGCCACAAAAAAGATCTTGACATTTTCTATCAAACTTCGATACATTTTGCCACCTGTGTCTCGCCATGGGGAATTTTGGCAGTTGCCATGTCGGCGAGGAACACACGTGCACCCACGTGCGGCACGTGCGCGCCAAGCGGCGGCTGAAGCGGCTGGCACAGGCAGTGACAGATCTGGGCAAGACCGCCAACTGCAGGAATCATCGAGCCAACAGGTCTAGACTATTCGAGACTCTTACCAATCCCACCACCCAAAACCATGTAGGACTCTTATCTTAATGGTTCCATAGATGGTTCCTAACCAGCACCTCCAACAGGTCACCAATTGAAACCTGTCTTCGGGCCCTTCCCAACCCTCCATGCAACGGAGACCTGTTGGAAGAGGTGCTGGTAGTCTTTGTTGATATGTTTTCGTGTGACTGTCCCTGGCCCTTCGCATCTGGACATAGATGCGGACCTTCGTCTCCCGGTGGTCACCCACTGTAGTCACCACGTCGACGGTGACCGGCAGGTGTTGCTGGTGCTGAATGTGGCCATGCCAAGTGGAAACACTGGAGGCCAGCTCTGATGCTACTCGTACCATGGTCGAGATCGAGCAGGGGAAATGGTCAGTCCCAGTCTTCCAAGGAGGATCCATTCGATGTGTTGAGAAAGCAGGACCTTATTTGGAAAGTCGAGGGATTTCAGACTGCTCAAAAGCAAGGTCAAACATGGCTGCTGTGGCAATCTAATCGGTGAAGAGACATGGACCCGAGCAGACAAGACCTTTTGCAAAGACAAGAATTCCAGTCCCGGACTTCGCAACTAGCCACGTGCCACTAGCCACTTGTATAGTTTTTTCTTCGCACCACGGGCCAAAGGATTGTGTTTTTCCGCATGTGGGCATTGAGTCTCTGCCAGGTGCCTGGGTGCCGCCAGGCCGGCGTCCAACGCGGGAAATACCGAGGGGCGGAGCCGCGCGGGAGGCGAAGATGTTTTCTCACGGCCATTTGTGACACCAAGATGTTTTCTTTAAGGGACCCCTGTGTTTAAAGTCACTTGGAAGGTCCTGGAAATGGAATTAATCAATAATATTAAAGAAATCTCATATGACAATGAATCACCCTATACAGGTGATCCAATTCCTCAAACAAGATTCGAGATCATCAATATGGAATAAGGGTACTCTGTAAGATTTGGATCCCTTAAACCCTGGCCTTTGAAGACTATGAAAAGAATGGGTCGTGTAGAATCCTTATAGTAAAACAATGGTTCACATACTATCCCCGAGTTTAAATGTTTGAGACCGCCGCAGCCACATCATCACTGAGGCGCGATCCTCACGGAAACCGCGACGTCGTCGTCGCGAGCGCGCTTCCGGCTCACAGGCCGAGGCGGGCGGTTCGATGGGGTTGGGGTGAGGTTCGCCGCAGGGGGGTCGTTACGGCGTACAAGGTTTGGATGATGTATGTTAAAGGAGGGATGAGATATCTTCATTCAGATCTATGCATGGAACTGATTCACTTGGGGTCTCAAAAAGGTTTTTTCCCGCTGTGCTGTTTGTGTTTCTTCTTCGGGGAGGAGGTGGATGTCTTGTCTCATTTCTACTGTGCCTGGGGAGTCATCAACTTCCACATTTGGCTGGAAGAGAGAACACACAACCCAGCTTGGCTGGGAGAAAGGAGGCATCGACGATGCGTCTACATCTTGAAAGCGTGTCTCGAGGATAAATCTTGCGATACCAGAACCACTTGAAGCAAACAGCTCCGTCAAGAAATTGGGACACCTGGACAGTGAGATCCGCCGCTTCAGAGGCAGTTGGCGCAATGCAGTGCCTCCTCCATCAGCAGTGTCAGATCCCAAGGAGTTAGTTTCCTGGTTGTGGCAGACGCAGGTGAGCATGACATAATGACATAACTGACTACAGCCAGGAGTTTCCACGTGGTGAAGCATGGTGAAGCAGTTGATTTGTGGGCTGGTGAACAGCTTTGATCTGTGTTTTCATTGGTGATGTCCCCCAAGTCCGGCGTCGTAGACCCGGAAAAGCTCTCAATTGGCACATACATGAAAACAGAAGGTTTGCAGCTTCCACAGTTTGTTTTTGCGTAGGATCATGTAAGACCTTATAGCCTTACAACTGAGATCGAGTTGCTTGTTACAACATGTTACAACTATGTCCCACTACTTGCAACAGTTGGTAACATATCACTATTGTTGAGCATGGTCTGCAACCTAAATCATAATCCATTGTTACTGAGAAGCAGATCAACCCACCCTTGCAGGATGACCTCGCAGCCACGCCCCCCAGAGCGGTTCTACATGGTTTCGCCCCCCCTTGGTTTTTTGACCATCCTGTGGAGCTCAACATCCACCTGCGAACCCAAACGTCGCGGCCTTGCGCTGCGCCTGCCTTGCGACGCTTGTACGCCAACTTCCTGGGTGCAAAACGCACCCTGATAAGAAGGAAAGTTGCAAACACAACACACAAAAAACAAACAACACAACATCCACTGTTGTTTATACGTTACATGAAAGTGACCTGTTTTTCTCTGCGCCTCGTTTTGCTGCGTTTCACTCGTGGCTCGCCACCTAGGCCAGCCCCCAGTCAGCCATCCGAGGGTCCGCTGGCTCTTGGGCGGAAGGCACGGGAAATCAGATACCTGGATCTCACCATTGAAACATCTTTTTGGACTATGACTCGTGGAGTCATGCGTCATATTCATTCCGTGTTCAAGTGATGCCCAACCTGTCCATTGGTGGTTTCTCCACAGAGATCGAACCGGCGCGCCCTTCGGATCGAATCGACCGGAATCGAAACGGCGGGACGTTGGCGACGTGACGTCGACAGACTCAGTGACGACCGATCTCCAGGCATGGAGCAGCACGGCGGATGGCTTCTTAGAACTCCTGGTGCGCCATCCGCGAGGAACTCGCAGCGCAAAACACGTGGAGGAAGTCGTACATGATGGGATTTGCTTGGTCTTCTCGTCTTTTTGGAGGTTCCTTGCGACGCTCAGCTGCGCCAGGTCTACACAACTCTTTGGATGTCCTTCAGCTCGGCGACTCAGAACTCCGTGACGTCAACGGTTCCCGGGAAGCCCCGCGAGCGGCGTGCCCGATTGACACGTCGTTCTCGGTTTGTTTCTTTTTTTTTCGGTTCTGAAGCCCAAGGAACCACCGGGCGCCTGGGAAGGACCTGGAAATATGACGTGCCCTGGGATTTGAAGTGAAGCGTTTGTTTGACTGATCTGAATCCCAAAGAACCATTATAAATGATAGTAGTGTTACTCAGGACCATTGGTGGTCAACCATTGTCGAGCTGAAGGCGGCATGGACACATATGATGCATGACAATGCATGACAATCCACTGGTCCAGGCTGGTTGTTACAGCATTGACGTCCTTGGCGTCGGAGGACTGGCATTGGAGATCTGGTAGATCTTTGTTCGATTGAATGGCAAGAAACCTCACTCTCTCCTTTATCCTTGATGGGTTACCGAACAACTTCAATACCAGACCCGGCAAAAATCCAGGCTCGGACCTCGCTCTCCTCGCTGAAAAGCTGCTGGATACAATATCATGTGTCGAACGAAAACCGGTTAGGCCTCCCGCACCCCTCGGCTCCCTCGGAAGCCACCGGTTGGAGGTCTGGCAAGTCTGGTGCCCTTTGTGCAGTTACAATGTGGCTTTAACGTCGACCAGTAGGGGTTCTCAGCTGCGCGAGTCACGTGATTCTGGCTGGTTCCGAAGGGATCAGCAAGAACAGAAAGGATCAAGACAGCAAGAGAAAGAAAGGTGCCTACAGAAGTATAGTGTCAGTTCTTCCGCATTCTTTCGAACAGTTTCTGAGATGAAAAATGAATGCGAATGCTTGTGCGATTCTTTCTTTGTTTCCATCGCCGATGGGTGGACCTTTGCCTGTTATATGGCCTGGCTCCAAACCCCATCCTTCAGAGCCAAGAACCCGAGATATCTCAATCAGACCAATTTTTTGCTTAGTTTGTTTTTGTTTTTAAATAGACTTTATTAGCAAAAAAAACAAGTGAAACAACTATACCTCAGGATACCTCAGGTAGTACCTGACCTCATGTCGTTTATTGTGTTTAGTATACATGTTACATCTCGGCATTGAAAGACCTCTTCCAATGGGTCAGGTTGACCAGAAGGACGAACAGGTTTTTCGGCGTTGAGGACCCGGTCGACCTCTTTCGAAACGGTCCGGTCAGGTTGAATCCTTGCTTTCTGATTAGCACAGGTCGACCAGGTTGCTCGTTCGATGCGAGCAGCTGTAAAGATGTAGCTGAACCCATGAGAATGCCAGTGAACCCATGTCACTATCGATGGGTACGTGAGCGCGGTCAAGCTGTCCACATGGTCAAGCGATTGAAGTCTCACGAAGTCTCAGGAAGTGGATATATATATATATATAACCAACTGTTTCATGCGACCATCCATGCAATCGGGAAAATGGATACATGTTGGTTTCTTTAGATCTTTATGGATTGTTGGGGATGCGGCAAACCAAGGATTGTGGATATTGAAATATATTGAATGATATCAACCTTTATACTTGGGATGATTGAAGCCACTGACTACTTGTTGTGTTGCTCTGTTGTCCAAACTTTCAACCACCCTTGACTCCCAAATGCACCCAGGCGTCCCTTCTGGGCAGCCGTGGGGACACTTGGTGACCAGTGGAACTCCCCTCCCGCCGGCGGTGCGGGCGGGCGGGCAGAGCGCGGTGACCCACAGGGTGACTCAGCTTCTGGTCGACTCCTCTGTTGGATCCTCCGTTGTCCCACCCCCAGACCCAAACGGAAGGTACGACCACATAGTCCAAACGGGAGGTTTTTCATCCGAGCGAAATCTCAGTTGGACGGTGGACGGCCGGGTGAACCGGAAGCCATCGGAGGTTCCTGAGACTTCCTTTGTCCGGTCTTTTGTCGGATGATCATCTTCCTGCAGTGTATTGGCATTAGTGGCATGTTCCTTCAGAGTCAGAAAGCTGAATGACAGCTGATATGGTACAGATGGCTGCTATACCCAAACTCAAACTATGCCTCTGGGGTGGGAGAATCATTGGAATATGACATCCACATTCACTGTTTTCCGAATACCAACCGGGCGTGGAATGGTTTTCAGGTTCGGAACTGGGTCTCGGAACGTCCTCGCCTGTAGTCTCATCCGCGAACCACCAAAAACCCACGCCCGGTTGTAGAAGAACATGGTCTTCGGTGAATTCTCCAGTTCCATGTACCTCTTCATCCTTTTTTATTTGGGCGAGGGGTCGTCGCCGACCTCGACGTGTTGCCGCCCAAGGCCTCTGAGAGTGTTGCAGTCTACACCTTGGACCACTTGTCCCACGCTCGGTGCGCGGCGCGACGTCGAAAGCGCCGCAAAAACACAGTCCAGTCCGACGTCGAAATAAGGCTTGAAGATCCGAACTATTTGGAATTCAAAGTTGAAACACTCTGTTGAAGGACGCTAGTTACTAGGGGCTCCTGGCCTTACTACTAGTAACAAGAAGCTACTAGGGGGCTCCTGGCATCGCTACTAGGAGCATTCTTACTACTAGGAACAAGGGCTTAAAAGTCGACCTGGACTCCCAGGGTGACACATCATGACACATCCAAGGATCAAGCTGATACTCCCTCGTCCCAGGGTATTGGTAAAGGGCTGATGACTTCAACTTCAACTGATGACTTCGGCGGAGACGAAACGCGTTTCTTTGCAATAGCTGTGTCTTTTAAATCATGCCAGCATGTCACCATATCTCTAACCTTGGCAGCAATCCCCCCTGCGCCGAGGCATGACATCAGCAAAGCCACCAAAAGCACTGGAGCGCTCCGCAGTTGCAGGGTTGGTGGAATTGGCATCCACTTTTGAATACCCCGTCCGTCCCACAGCAGAAACCAAGACACCAACTAAAATATGATGGAGCTCGACGCATTGAATTGCTTCGACCGGCTATTTTGCTTCTTCACAGGAATTGGTTTTTGTGACATCCTGCCGTTTCCTTTCGGCAACTGGTTGAGTGGAGAGACGGCAGGAGAGCACAAGATGAGCTCTGCAGGCCTCTGATCTGCTTTCCGAGCGAAAATTTGTTTGGGGCAGCGGGTCCAAACTGGACACCCAAAGGGAGGTGGCTGATTTATATCATCCCACCATCCCCAAGCGCATTTGAAGAAGTCCGAAACATGTGGGACATATAGACCTTGTAGGGGAAGTGTTCATGGCATGTCCCATATTGTCTCTTCATGAAACACAAATCTCTCCCTAGAAGTCCAAAGACTGTATTTTGACCGGCTGAAGTAACGGATATTCCTTTTCGGGTCTCCTAAAGACCATTCTTTATATATAGTCTTTGACTCTCAGGGCTCTTGCAGAGATCGAGAGGAAGTAAAGATTGAGAACAAAAAAGGACTCGTCAACATGCAACTTTGATTCACGCAGCCAGGAGCAAAAAGTAGCCTGTTGGAGGATCCACAGGTTCCTTCGTCTAACCGAACCTCCCAAGACGAAGATCCAAACCTCAAGAGACGAAGACGTTCAACGACCCAGGCTCAAACAATTCCCTAGAAGTCCAACGACCCAGGTCCAAACCAGGTCGTTGGCTTGCGAACGGAAAGGTGTTTTGTATTACCAACTCCAGTAAAACGAGGTCAGACTGACCTGTAGGGATTGAACAAAGAACAAACAAAACGTGATGGAATTCCCCTAATGATGGGTCACAACTCACAACATGTCAACATTGACTCCTTCTGTCCGAGGTCGTTTCCCACATCGAGTCCTCCTCTTGCGAGTCTTGCTCGCAGTGTCCATCCTGGCCTTGGCGGGTAGCTTGTGAGAACCTCAGAGACGCTGGGCCCCTCCGGGGCACCAATCGGACACCCGACCGACCGACCGCCGTGGGACCAACTGCTACATGTTGGTTCAGTTCAAAACTCACCCTGGCGGACTGCGGGTCCAACGAGCCTTTGGGCTGGCTGTTCTGCGGAAGAAGCGCTCTGCCGCGCTCGCGCGCGCCAGAGGCGGCGCGAGGCGAGGCGAGCTCGGCCGGCAGACACCGAGGATCGCGGCTCGCAGCTGGATGGTCTCGTTGACCTTCTTAGGCGGTCGCGCCGTCGCGATCGCGAGACGCAGAACGCTTCGCATGGGGTCAGAGGTCAGGATGGGTCACCTGTGTCACGCCAGCCTTGGAGAGCCTCGGTTGCTGCCAATGTGAGCCATGGTCTCACAGGAATCACCCGGGTCGGTTCCCGTCGTGTTCGGGCGTCGCAGGGCACGTTCTCCTTTGTGCCGCCTATGCGAAGCTGAAGCCTCGAATGCCCTACTGCAAGGCGCATCACCAATCCATGGGCCGGTGCCCCTGCACGCGATCAGACACGAAGTCAGGACTGCCAGGGGAAGCATCCAAGACCAGGCTTTTCACACCCCAAACCATGGGATTGATAATCCTTTTCCTAGCACTTCCAACGGGTGCCCTGTCTGAAGACCTGTTTATGTTAATCCTCTATGTTTCTCTGAGGGGCCACAGCTGTTTTGGGGCCGAACATGTGGCGCCCTTCTCAGTGCCGTTCCACTCCGCGAAGTCGAAATCGATGGCAGGGCCCCGAGGTCGGAGGACGTATGAAGACCCCACCCTCAGAATCCGCTGGCAGGGGACTATAGTCCCTCCATAGCAGGGGGAAAAGGGCCCGAACCAAACCCTATTTGTTGGTTCGGGCCCGGATTCTTACGTAATATGAAACAGGCCGGTGAATTCAGTTGAATTCCACTTCTTGGTTCAACATGAGCTGGAAGGTGAGCGGAAAATTGTGCTAGGCTTTCTACGTGTCCACTTGCGTGGTCTTTATGGCGGTCGCTGCACCTAGTGCGTATGCTCCAGCGTTGCCATGAGCTCAGTTCTTCAGCATGTTCAATACACTTGAATCATGAGAAGTTGATAGCATATTAATATATAATATATTATAGCATTATGATATCCACTTGATGCTTGAGAAATTCTTGCTTCAAGCCATGCCTCGTGAAAAGCCGGACGCACCGTCCGTGACAAGCCGATGGAAGACACGACCGGATGGGTCGGGTCCCGGCCCCACCGGGTGACGCCGTCACCGAGGTTGGGTTCCTTGAGCGGTGCCTCCTTGGGGCAGATGACGCTCGGAGCGGAGAACGGAAGACGAAACGGAAGCAACTCCGGAGAAATGCCGTCGATCGTTCTATCACCATGTATCACCATGACCATGAAAGGGGAAGATAGAACTGGCTGTGTAAAATCCCGTAGAACATCAGATTGTTCTGTGATGGGTTCCCTCGCTTCCTTGTTCATGTCGACATGTATTTGGAATGATGAAGTACTCTCAAGCGCGTCAGGTCCTCGCTGTCCTCACACTCATGTCCAATCGCCCCCCCCCAAAAAAAATAAACACACACACACACAAACTTCGCCTCTCGCCATCTCTCGCCTCTTGCCCCCCCCAGTCCACGTGTCATTCGGTCTGTGGTCCACGTGGCGCCTCGTTTTCGTTGAGGCTCTTGTTGATCTTTTCGGTGGCGCTCACCGTGGAGCAGCTGCAGGACCTGCGCGACGTCGACGAAGACCTGGAAGCCCAGGCGACGGCGGGGTCGAGACGGTCGAACCGGTCACCGGATTGCTTCGACCGCGCCCTCCATATAACAGCTCCAGGGTTTGACCTTCTGGTGTGAAGGTCGTCAGATTGGGTTCGCTTGACACTGTCAGAAAGAAGACAGGTGACCGGTGATGACCGTGGATGGCAGGTGGACACCAAGCTACGTAGCTTTATACATCCCAAGACTGGTACCAGAACAGCAGATGCTCAGGGCGCTATAGATGGCCCCACGAACCATCGGAATCGCTATAGATGGCCCGGTGAAACCGGGTATACCAACCCGCCATTGCGGAATGAGAGTCGATCAAGCGGATCGGAAGGGCCGTATCCGGGCCGGAGCTCGGCCTCCGGCCTCGCCAGGTGGTGACGTTAGCCTCCGGCTTCGGGCCACGGAGGGCCAGGCGATGCTGGATGCTGGGAGAGGATTTAGATGGATGGATTTCCCTAAATGAGTTCCCCAGGTGAGCTGGGGAGGCAGTTCCCTAGAGAGATGGATGGCCCCTCACGGTTGTGTTGGTGATCGAAACAACAAGCGATATAGTTGTTAAGTGGAGTACGTGCCTTGGGAGACGGACCCATGGAAAATGATCGCATAGATTAGTTTTTAAGCATTTCCACAAACAGCTTGGGTGGAGTAAGAAATGTGTTGCAGCCGAACTGGCAGGCAGCTGCTCTTGGTTTTCCAAGCGGCCGCGCTCTTCCTGCATCTCTGGTTGATGCAGTGGGTCATAGCCTCAGCCTCACCCTGAAGCTTTGAGGTGTGGCAGGGTACTCTATGATTGTATTTTTGTGACCTCCCTACGTAGATCGAACCAAGACAAAAACAATTGTACCAGGATCATCCTCGTCTGGGTGTCCTGGCTAGACTACCCTACCCTACGTTAACAGGTCTCCTACTCCAGGGCACCCGTTGGAAGTGCTAGGTCTGAATTCTTCGTTTGGAAAATCACTGTTCTGTCTACATCTATAAACCTTTGCGAAGGATATCACATCACTTTCACTTTGGGTTTGGATCCATTTCGAAAGTGAAAAGAGGTGGCAAGTCCAACGACGAAAAACCCGGTCGTTTGCCAAGTAAAATGAGACCTGTATAGGGCTGGCATGCCGGGTTCTGGGAGACTCTCCAACAGCTGCAGCTCGACCTCGATCCCAACGACGTAGGTCGACCGTGGCCCGGACACCATGGCCCGGACACCGTTGGGAAGAGGATCAGTTTCCTGGGAGTCTAAAAGGATCACCTCCAAATAAGCAGCTTTCTTCATCGTTGCAGTTCATTCTGCAGTTCAGGCAATCCATCAGCACCGCCTCGAAGCAGCACGAGGCGATTCGAGGTGTTCGGTTTTTGTTCCACCCGAGGCCCGCTTGCCGCTCCGTCCGCACTTCCTGGCGGTCCATGTGGCCTGTAGTGGGGCCGCCCCAGAGCGCATTCTGCACCTGGCGCGGCGCGTCCATGTGGGTTGAACAAGTGGAGCATAGTGGAGCACCTTGCTAGGCAGTTTGGTGAGGAGGGACCCATAGGGACCCCATCTCGTCAAAGATTTCAATCATGGGTCGCCCATGTGAAAACTCGTAGAGAGCGACTCTAGATGCCTGATAGAACCGCAGAGACTCCATTGTATGGCATATTTGCCGCCCCATTCACCCCCTTTCACCACGCCTGATCGGCAGTCCTATGGCAGTCCCATTAGTCGTGTTTGGGACCAGTTTTCTGCTGTTGGTCCATCCAACTGGCCGAGGTCCCACTGAGGTCGGTAAGAGGCGGCGGCTCCGAACCCGTCAGTTTCGACGAAAGACCACGGTCACGTCGAGGCCTTTGCTCGATGGGATTCAGCCGCCAGACGCCACGGAGTCTTTTCCAGGCGCCAGACGCACGGACGCATGAGGTGTTTATGGAGTCACGTGGAGCGCGATGCATGTTGGATTTCTTTTTTAGTTACCATCCAGTGAGTACTCTTCATGGATGTGTGTATATATTGTTGTTGTTTCAATGAAGGCGAAGAGAAACACGACTTCTCAAGCATTTGCGGTGACAGTTCTGGTATTCAAGGTGCAGGTGACGTTCACAGAGTCTTTTTCCACAAAGCCAAGGGGTGTCTTCACTGGAAAGAAGTGCCGAAGATCGGATCCCACACCGGGTCTCTTCAACTCGGGCACCGGTACGGCCCCGCTCGAGGTGTTGCTGGAACCCCTCTATGCACTGCCTCTCTTGGCAACGGCGTACCTGGACCGGCAACGTACGTGGGGGTCAATGTGGGGTTTCCAGGTGAATGGTGAAAGCATGTGAAAGCAGATCCCGATGTTTGGTCCAGTTTTGGTCCAAAGAAGTGGCTTGCAAGGAAGCCCTGACACAATGAAGTGCAAGCATCATCCAGCACCACGGATTTCGGGTGTCCATGAATAGCCCCAAGGCCATGGGTGATTCGGGGTGTCAAATTGGTCCTGCCCAGACGCTCCAAACAGCCCTTGGTCCCTCAAAACCATAGGGATTTGAGACCCCAGACCCCTCCATATGAGGGTCCGACCCTTCCATATGAGAGCCCATGAGCGTCTGGGTGGATCAATCAGATTTGGTTTTGGTTCGTTTTGTCCATCGACAGATGTCTCACGACCGAACGACCTCGCCGTCGCCTAGGCTTCGTGCCTCTTCGGGGCTCTCGCTTTGAGGACCGCCTGACGAGCCGACGCATCGATGTTGAAGTGGACTAGTGGGTGGACTATATACCCCCAACATCACCGACTATACCTTCTCAGGAGGTACTTGGATCCTCCAAACAGTGTCTCCACCTGGAAAATATATACTTTCAGGTCACCACCTGCGACTGCCATCGGAGACCTGGCAGTAAAGGTGCTGGTCGACCAATCGCGCTATGCGTAGCAGCTCAGGGTACCTCGATGATCCTCGATGTACCTCGCTGCTGTACACGGTTTCGGAGATTTGGATGTTCAACCTATACTTGGCATCATTGAACCTAACATGTGTGTTGTTTGTGAGTTAACGCAACCAAACTATAGACAGGAACATCCAAATTGGTTATTGGGTGGAACGTTAACGCCCTTTTTGGAAGGTCGCAAGCTGGCGCGGCTGGCGCGCGCGCGCAGGTTCCTCATGGTTCCTCCGATGTTTTTGGGTGTAGCTTGAGAAAGCCCATCAAAACTCAGAGTTCAAAACGAATCATCACTACCACTACCAGGTAGGGATCCCTCAAAAGAACAACAACATGGATAATTGGTGTAAGTAGGGTAACAACCTTTGGCATTACTACACCGTCAACCGTCGCCCTTGTTAAAAGAATCCAACTCCACCGGTTTCAGAGGGCGGACCCGAATAGAAAGCGCCGTCGAATCCCTGGAGGATCTGCACCGCCATCATTTTTGTGCTGCGCAGCCCTTCCTGTGGACCTCCAGCGTTGGAGGGTCACCTGAATGCCGCAGCCAGCTTCGTCCAGAAAAGACAAAGAGACCAATCAAAGCTTCGAATAGGAATCTGTCCCAACAATGCTCTTGATTCGTTTCTGGGAGAAGGAACTTTCACAAATCCAAGCATGAAAATAATCGTCCCTTTCTATTCCTAGCTGCTTGTTTTGTTGCTCGAGGCACCAGAATCTCGCTCGATCTGCTCAATCTTCTTGAAGCACTATTACAAAATAAAACCTTGAGGGTAGCACTTTGGACTGAGTTTGATCAACTCTTTTCTGGATTGGCCAGCCTGGAAACATGGCGCCACGACTGTGCGCCACGACTGTGTAGAGGGGTCTTTGCAACCACGACTGAGTTCCTTTTTGCTCTCCTCTGGCGGAGAACACTGGCATGATCACCTCAAAAAACAATGAGGGAAGTGGATTCCCTGGATTGCTAAGTCGATGTTTCCTCCCTGAAACTAAGCTATACCTACGTCTCTCTAGCAAACCAAAAGATAGCACGTGTTTAACATCACACAGTTCCTATCCAGCTGCGTGTGAACATGCCACATCTTCGTGAAAAACTGCTGGTAGATTCGACATGGATCCAAAAAGCGCTGAAAACCGTGGGTTGGAGGTGTCGTTGCGAATTCGTCGAAAGATCTTCAAGATCGGCCAAAATAGGCGGATCGACCGTGAAAAACATGGCAAGTCTAGACATGCTTAAGTAATAAGGTTTGCCGCCTGTTGTTGTTTTTTTCCATGATCGGAATCGTCTCTTCAACATGCCCATCCAATAAGGGACCTTTTCGATAGCTTCTTGTTACTATAGTAGCGATGCCCTTTTGCTACTAGTAGCGTCCTTGCTCCTAGTAGTAAGGCCAGGGTCTCCTAGTAGCGTCCTCATGTTCCTAGTAGCCATGCCCTTTGCTCCGAGTAGCGTCCTCTTGTTCCTACTGTTGATGGACAAAATCCTGCACCACCTCACCACTTTACCCTAGACGGGTCGCATAGCAACCCCCGTGCCCCCTCATTCAATGTTGGCGCGACCCCTCTGAGGAGGTGGTGCAGGATTTTGGACCTTCAACTTGTTTTTGTTTTCTCACTGTGGTGGCCCCAACATTTGGCGCGACCCCTCTGAGGAGGTGGTGCAGGATTTTGGACCTTCAACTTGTTTTTGTTTTCTCACTGTGGTGGCCCCAATGTTAACAAGGGAGAACGAGGGCAGCAAGAAAAGTGTGCGCAAAGTGGTGCAGGATTTTGTCCATCAACAGTAGTAAGGCTAGGAGACACGCAATCCGCAAGCCTCATTGGTCTCTTCACTGTGCAGACCACCATCACCCACGAGCGTGGACCCGGTGGACCCGGTGGCCGTGTGTGACAGACCTCGGTTCCCGAACCGGAAACCCGCCGCGGCCGCGACGCGACGTGGATCGCTGAGCGCAGCGCGAAGCGAAAAGGAGCGCTGAGCGCTGCAGAGCAAACGAACACGAAACGAGATCGTGGATGGCTTGGAGTGGAGGGTCTGAGGTGTGAGATGACGTGGGTGATGGTGTGGAAGTTCGAAGGATTTGGGGCGGGGAAGGGAATCAAGTAGTAGTTCAAGGCATTTAAGTTGTTATTCCAAATGCTTTGTTGCACCAGCTTGATCTCTTTTTGAGTTCTTTTTTTCCGCTCTTCTCTTCACAGATCAGATCAGCCTGCGTCAGCCTGCCGCACGGACTCCATGGTGCCTCATCACGCACCGGTCGGCCACGGATCTGCAGGCCATGGCAGTTTTCAGGCCCAGAGGCGACCCTGGACCCGAACCAACTGCTACACGTTGGCTCGGTCCATTTCACCCTGGCTGGTTTCGGGTCCAATGAGCCTTTGGGGGTGAAGAATAGTCCAGACACAACCTGTCTGGGACTGCCAGTCCGGACTGCCGCCCCAAGACAGACCCCCCAAACCACCACCACCTCTGGGCGTTTCTCGGCAGTCCGGACTGGCAGTCCCAGACTGGTCGTGTTTGGGATAGTCCAAGGTTTGGCAACTCTGACAACCAGGAGTCACATGGAGCAAGTCGGGGTGAATTGAAGCAAGGAAGGATCGGGGTAGCCCCTGTCACGTCGTGCGGACTCGGATGGGACGAGAAAAAGGCACCCTCAGAGCTCCATGCGACTCCTGCCGTTGGCTCCAGCTGACACCAAGCGCTGCACCCCGCGGCACGCCCCGCATCGCCCCATCTGTTTGATCTTCTTCCACCTTCCAGCTTCTCCTTCAGCTTCTCCCCGCTTCGAAAACTCTAGAAATTCTGAGAAAAAGTCAGCAGTCTACAGAAAATAGCTTGGCTATTTAGTTAAAATATATTTGATTTGGATGAAGGCCTTGATCCTGTTGAGCCATGTTCAACAAGACCGACAACAGAATCTCCAAAGTCATATTCCCTGCACCCTCTACTTTTGTTGGCCATGGGAGTTTATCAAAAAACAATTCCTCTTCAACTACTATAGACACTTGCTAGATCCTCAACCAAAAACCTCACTGAGATTCCGCGTGAAAGCGACTTCTCCGGTCCTTCGCCCAGAAGCCGTGCCTTCCAGTGATGCGATGCTTGGCTTCGCCCGCCGCGCGCCCCGTGCTGCCGCCCTCGGCGCCGCGCGCCGCGGACGCCGCGAAGACGTCGCTACGATGGTCCGAAGCGCTGCCAGGACGGCGGTGCGGACAGAGGATTTCTCCGGCTCTCCCACTAGATACCCTTGGAGTCCAAGACTATTCAAAGAATGGTCTTTATGGGATCTGAAAGGGAACTTTACTTCAGTGGGGCAAAATATTGGACTTCGATATGTAGAGTCCACAATTTGTCATCCTTCAGGGCGCGGTTTGACCAAAGACAGGATGATAGGAAAAAAACACTGAACTGTTTCAATGTGACCCCATTCGAGTTCTATGAATCCCCTTATTTACCACCTGCCCACCACGGAACAGGTGGTTAGTGGAAGAAAAACATAATGAGAAATACATTTAGTCGACTGGGATGTCTATCAAGCACCCGAACTTAGTGGGCTGGCAGGCCTGGAGAGTCCATAGAAGTTCGAACTTGAGACTGATTAAGCCCTAACGAAAGGTATGCTCCAGAACCACCCAGAGCTAGGGTGGTTTATAGTTCCCCCCTGAAGATGTATTTCCCATCCAATAACCCCTTTGAGTGGCGTCGGTAGAAGTTCTTTTCAGTCAGGTGACCTTGTAGACACTTAACACTTCTGGCGCTACCTAAAGCTGGCAAGCTGGCTTGTTTGCCCCAGCCCAAGCACGACTTGGTCGAAATGGTGGGGCATCCAGGGGGCTCAGTTGCGGACGTAGATTACGTAGAGACTGGTGTTTTCAAGGGCCAACTTCAGGACAAAAAAGTCCTCCCACTATCATTCTGTCTGGGTATCCTGGCGTTCGACTACCCTACCTAATGGTCTACTGCAGGGCACCCGGGTCCAGGAAGTGCTAAGCTGTGCTGTTGTTGCTTCATGTTGTGCCCAGTCGGATGGGGAACTGCAGGAGTGCTGGCTGCAGGGCTCGGAGGTCGGACGTGCCAGAGGCGAAACCGACGAGACGTGGGAAGGGCAAGTTCATGCGATCATGACATATTGAACAATAGCATAGCCTTCAAAGACCATGAAAGGAATGGGAACGAGCTGGTTTTTGTAAGTGTAAAGTCCCTAGTCAAACAATGGTTCTTTGGGATTCGGACCATTTAAATCGGTTGGTCAGAAATTCGTATACATATCTCGGGTGACGCACCATTTTCGGGCGTCGACCCGGTCGCACACTTGAAAAGTCGGTCCCGGTCCGAGGTCCGAGGTCCGACGCCGGCATGAGTCAAGTTTTGAGAGGACCGGACCCAGGACCTTCCAACAGGTCACCACCTGCGACTTGAGAACATCTACAAAAGCCTCCATTTCGGAGACCTGGCAGGGAAGGTGCTGGTATGTGATTGATGTGCATCACTTTCTATACCAAAACTGATAGAGACACATACGTCATACGTGTTTCTTTTTCGACAAGGCCCGGAGTTCACGCGCTCCCCGCTTTGCAGGTTGGCGCGGGCCGACCGCGAAACCGGGCGCGCCCAACCGGTCGCCCGCGCAGGCACCCATTGCGTCCGGCTCTTCGTCCGGGCTCTTCGGATCGATCGATGGGGCGTACGCCCAAGGAAAAGGCGGTTCCCCAAGCAAAAGACCTGGCCGTGAGGGTAACTGGTATAAGGTCTGAGAAGCGCTGGCGCTGGGCCAGGTGGTTTGCCACCACAGGCGTTCGTGTTGTCTTCAGCATCACGTGTTCTCGAAGCATCGGACTCTCTCTTCCACAGGCGTTCGACCTCGAGCGCGGCGCAGGAGGTTGATTGAGTTGGGTTCCGACCTGAGTCACGAGTCACTTGCCTCCCAGTGGTGCCGTTCGCAAATATCCAAGACGATGGCTTTGGATTGAAAGAACTTGGTGAGACTGGTTTCATGCTGGTCACTGATGGAGTCGAAGCGGGGGAAGTCCACGGAAGTCCGCCAAGAGGTTCGGAGAAAGGGTCGTAGTGGACGGAAGCAGATGATGAGCTCGGTTGGTCTTCGGAGGGGAACAGAGTTAGATGAGAGTGGAGTGTCAGTTCCCGGATTTCGCTGATTTTGTTTGTGAAGAGAGGGGAGTCTGACGGAAGCAGAAACAAACAGGAGTCTGCTCTTATTGCTGTCATCGTTTTTGTGTACCACAGCAACAGAACAGCAGATTGGCGAAGAAACCCAAAGAACATCAAAGAACCCAATAATCCTGCTTGTTTTGTCATCTTCTCAGGTCTTCTGGGCGGCGCTGGCATAGCTTCGGCTGAGGCTGAGGCTCTCAGACACACTGAAATCCGCTCTTGATGGGAAGGCTGATGGTGAGTTTCTTGTGAGTGGCCAAGTGCTAGAGTCCGTTGAGGACTGCAAACAGGCTTTTGCTTGAGCTCAGTGGCCAAGCATACTGGTAGCCAAGCGTATCGGATTTCGATGTGCTTCGAAGGTAGATGATTCAGACTATTCCGCCAAGGTGGGAAGCTGATTTTTGTTTTGCAGATCCTTGCAGCAGATTCCATATGGAAGCACGATGTTTTTGTTGCATTTGGCGATCATATTCAACAGTGGCAATCATCAATATTGTGAATAGATGTTCACTTGATGTCAAGCACATGAGGCATGGACATGCATCCAAATTGATCTGCTGCCACTGTCTGCAACACGCAGATATAGAGCTCTATCCCACACAGAAACACATGCTTATTCCCAGAACATAACAAGCTGGGACTGGTGAAACATCCATTTCTTTCGGTCGTCCGAGCGGAATGGACACCCATCATGGAGGCACAACAACGCCCTTTTCCGTTGGCGGACCCAACGATGGCCTCCAGGCGAAGAGACTCCTGGAAGATCCCGAGGTGAAGTTCATTCGTTTCGTGGCGAAGAATCGAAGATCGAAGAGCTCGTTTCGTGGCGAGCGACAACCACTCGACAACCGCGAGGTAATCCGGTTTCAACGAAGCTGTCGGAGGTACTCCGAGGTACTCCGTTTTGGGGAGTCGGAGCAAACACGGAACTCGCCAGGGACTGACCTCATGAAATACTGGACGTGGTCGGAAAAAAAGAAAACCTATACTCATACGGAGGTTCTTGGTCAAAGACCAGGTTTTTTACGGGTAGAAATCCCTGACGTTCCCGCGCGTGCGGGAACCGCGGTGCGTTCGGGTGCCCAGGTGATTTACAAGCGAAGCTCGAACTGGTGGATGGCCGGTCAGGGCGCCGGGTGGCTCTGCCAAAGTTGCTGAAGCCCGGTGGAGCGCTGCCGCTGGGTGACAGAAGCAGAGTAGAGTAGCTGAGGGGTAGCTGCGAAGGTGAGGAACAATTGTGACAGACGTTGGGTGTGTTTCTTTTTAAAATTTGCCTTTATTCTTCCGAGCTTTGGGCGGTTTAGGGCGATGCATTGGTGAGTGAGTCGGCAATCCAGTAGAAGGGAGGTTCGACCAAGTGATAGGCCATAGGTAGTTGGACTACACCCTTATGGCATAGACTAGCTGTAGAACGAGTTTGTTGTTTCTTGCTTCTGCATTTTACATTCCTTTATATGTATATCTGACCATCACGGAAGTGGACATAGCTTCAAAGATGGTTCTCCAGAAATGGGGTCCACTTCGTTAAACATGGAAGGAGAGTACTTGATCGGTCGAGGTTGACCCTCAACTCCCTTGGAATCATCATGGGCACGAAAAATTGGTATCCTCTGCCCAACAGGGCCTGGTGTTCTACTTCCAAATGATGATTCCAGGGCCTGCAGGGCGCAGTAAATCCAGCGAAAGCACGTTGATTCAAGTAGCACTTGTCGCTTCAGATGGGCTTTGGACGGCATGGAATTGGCCTGCCTGTGGATGTGCTGACATGTGATGACCATGCTGTGGAAGGAGCAATTGAGTAGCGGCCTTGTTTTGTGTTCTTCAGGCATGATGCCGATCTGCTCTGTGCTGCTCAACTCAATTGGCACTCTCCAAAACACTGTGGATGGTTCAGAAGAATCGCCGGAAGCCCCTTCGTTCTATGATGCAAGGGGTACCAGTTTTCAGATATGTTCTGTTTGGATTATAGACATTATCCTTTACCGACCAAACCGACTCAGCCTGTCTTGACTCCTCTTCTGTGCTGAGATTGGAGAAATCCATGATTCTCCCGGGGATCATGCGGTGCAGAGACTCCTGCTGGATGCGCTCACGCAGCTCGACCAGAGAGTCGAGGTCTCAAGGAGCAGATCTACTCTCGGAACAAAGATGATTCCGTGGAGTTCACCACCTGCAGTTTGGTATTGAAAACATCTTTCCACGAGATGTTTTTCGGGTCAAACGAACTTAATTAACCGACGGTGACCACTCTGAAGTCAAGCGCCGGTTGGCACTGCATGGCCGTTACTTTTTTGTGAGTCCCTAGGCTATAAAGTTCCAAAACTGGGTCTTTCCCATCTTAAAACCTTGGAAGGCTCTCTTTTGGTCCATGTCCTTTCTTCCACCCGCGACTTTGGGGCATCGCCCCTGCGCTCCAAGGTACGCCCTGTTCCTGGAACTGCGGAGCTCCGAGGGCGTCGCCGCCGCGGCGCCGCGCGGACGGACGCCACAGAGACTCGGAGCAGGGTCGATCTGCGCCAGCTGACGCGGGTCGATCGGTCGATCGGGAGGTCGAGTTCGGATCGCGATGTATATCGAGCCGGAAGAGGTGGAGTTGGGTTTGGAACACAAAGTAAAAAGAACGAGGCTTTATAGAAGTGTTCTTGGTGAATTTTTTGGGGCTGCATGGCTTTTTGGTGGCGAAGACAGACTGAGGTGACACGTCTCTATGAGTTTCAACATGTTTCAACATTTCGTTTGGGAACACATCGAAGGCCTCGTCAGATTGATTCTTTTCTGGACTGCCGAGGAACTTGTCGCCACAGAGGGTTGCGGTTGGCGTGGATCCTTGGATGAGTTTGTCTCTTCTCGTGCCGACTGGAGCAGAACTTCCGGTCGAGATTGGTAGCAACAGGAGCTTTCACGGCGCGCCCGCGCCCGATGATCACTGATGTATTGTTCCATTTCGCTGCTCATCCACAGATGGTTCCGTCCGTTTGAGGAATACTTTTCGCGGCAACAGCAGCCTACCTTGGACACGTTGATCTTCGACAAAAGCAAAGATGCACTGGGCAGCAGCCCTTCCAAATTCCGGCATCCTGCCGGCACCGTTGTTCAAGAATTTGGCTGCACCTGCTCCAGTTCAAGAAGGTTATAAGACTAAAAAAGACAAAGAAGAGAAAAGCATCTTTTGAGTTGGCAGATAAAGCAGGGTCAATCTCATCATCAAATCTTACCTCACTCAGTTGACTCGCCCTATCTCGCTATATCTCGACGCTGCCTGAGCACCGCCACCGAGGGAAGCTTGCGACTGGGATCGCGTTTGGTCCTACGCACGGTGGCCTAGCAGCCGTTCGACGGCCGTTCACCACGAGGAAGAAATCCGCTGCATTGGGGTCCAGTTTTTGTCATGAGGATGTGGAGGTTGAAGGAGCCCGGAGTCATGCTCTATCCCGTGACTGGCTACAGTACCATGTGTACACATAGTTTTGGGTACCCCTTTCAGGTCTCCCAAGTTACATCGCCGAAATCGTTGGGACGTTGGGACGTTCTGGAATTGCTTGGAATCCACCCAGAGGCAACCCTGGACGAACCAACTGCTACATGTTGGTTCGGTCCATTTCACCCTGGCTGGTTTCGGGTCAAAACCCTGACCGCGAACTGATCAGGATCCGAACTCTGAGCCTTTGGGTATGAAATTCCGAGGATTGGGAGCTCTATGCGCCCTTGTTTCGCTTCTGCTCCTTGGCACCGACAGGATTCTGGGACCCCACCGGCACACGACGGGCCCGGCGGGGTCCGTGAGTTCACGGCGGGGTCCGACGTTTGACCTAAGGGTTGACGTATCCCAGGAGCCTTTGTTTGGGGTTTCTGATTAAAGGTGAAGGGGTGTCCATGAACCATCTCTTCCTGGTAGTTTAGAGCTCTATATAGTTTTAATGTGTAACATCAGTAAAACCATGGATGTCCGGCATGCCGGCGATCAAATCGACGTACGTACTGCTGCTTGGGGGTCGAACTCCCCCCTCCGAAGGGCGGGTCCCGGCACCAGACGATTCGTCCCTCAGGGGGTGCGTTTCACGGGTGCGGGAAACACATCCCAGTCCAGTCGGACGACGGATGAATTAGGGAACCTGATTTCGGGAACTTGCTTTTCTTCCGTGGGTCAAAGTACAGGTGAACTGGACTTCGCATGGGTATTTTTGAGCTCCAGACGGTTGATCGTCGCATCGAGCTCTCGTATCGTATCTGGGCTGGCTGCTTGGGTTCCTCGGGTTTCCACAGCAGGTCAACTGAATCTCAACCGCATCGTCGGCTTGCAGCTTGGCCACAGCGAGGATTTGGGGTGCTTCAACGTCCAGACCCTCCACCTGAGCAAATCCGATCAGACATAAAGCGTCCACCATGGCGAGCGAGTGGATGAGGGGCGAATTTGGAGAAACATCGAATGGATGTGTTCAGACAACAGAATTCATCATTGGTTTCATCCTCCAAACGTCAAATACCAGGGCTCCCTTTACCATGGGGTGGTATGGGGTGGTTACATTGAACACCCCTTCACTTCAATTGAAATACATGTTCCTGGTTCTTCAAAGTGACCTTACTTTTCCTCTTCACCTGGTTTGAGGTTACTTAAGCCTAAGGGTCACGAAAAGGAACCTTCAAAAGGTCACTTTGAAATACTTTGAAGAAGCTGGTGTTCATGAAAGCAAAAGCTGCACAGCCGAGGAATCTTCCCTTGGAGGCCGTGCTGGTGGTTTCTCGAGGCCCCCACGCGGCGGAATGTGCGGAGCCAAACAGAAGGAGATGATCCGAGGAAAAGATCATAAAAGATATCCTTTTAAGGTTGAAGAACTGAACATCGATGAGAAAAGGATATTATGTTTCTTTTTTTTTGCCAGAGTGTGAACAAATGTGATCTATTATAACATAAGTCGAGTTCTCCAGGTTGAGGTAGGGTTCCCCAGAACTGCTCGGGTCCGCGTCAATCATCGTTGATTTTTGCGGCGCGTTTTGGACCTCGGTTTGACCCTGACTTCGGGTCTACCGAAGGGTCTGTGGCGTCGATCGTCGGTTAACCCGGAGGTAGTTCCTACACCCACACGCAGCCTGAGGCAGCGTCGTACTAGTAGAACGATAGTGTACTTTTTTGTGTACTTACTATAGTGTACTATTGGCCTGGGAGTCCAAGACCATTCAAAGTTCGTCGACCTAGGTGACCCCAGTTCAGGAACTTCCTTTACTTCAATGTGGCACACTATCGTCGAACTGGACGAGAGTATACTCCCAGACAATCCATTAAACTGGAAGAATTCACACATTGGGGTGGTTTGTTGAAATGTTTGCACAAGGTTTCAGGTATAATCGGTATGGATTTTGGGGGTGTTACGGCTTTCCCAACTGCTCGTGTCGCCTCACTGGTTCAGACCCTCGCTGCTTCAGACCGTGACCTCGGAGGTGGCTTGGAGGCAGCGCCCGAGTGGTTGCGTGAGCAGCTGCCTCCTTTGGATCTCACACAAGAGAAGCATCGCCGGAGGTTTGAGGACATGCTGCTCAGCTGAAGGAGGAAAACCCGTATCAATCGAATAGGCCGAAGAGAGTGCTGTACCTATGGATTTTCCAACTATATGCAACAATTATGAGTGTTGATTGGTTTTATATGTGAAAATGCAGAAGTTTTGCATAGTTCGAAGATCTAGGTATGGCCTTTCTCTTTGCCCTTGGCTTTGCTCCTTCGGGCGGCAACTTGTTTGTTTACGACAGTTGTCATGCACGCTTTTGCTGCACCCTGTGGCATTCCATTAATACCAGTTAGATAAGAATAAAACACATTATCATCATTTGCAAAATATCAACCAGGACCCTCCAACAGGTCACCACCTGCGACTGTTAAGTCTCCAAAAGCCACCAGAGGAGACCTGTTGGAGGGTGCTGGAAATGGTTCATTAAATAAAGATAAAAACCACACACAACAGGACATCATGTCACTGTGTTTCTTGCGTCATGGTTCTTCTTTGACAAGCCACATCCGAACATACCCAACAGAGCAATCGGTTTTGTTGTCAAACCCGAATCGGACGTCCTCGGACGGATCCGGGAAGGTCAGGTGAATGAAATCCAGAGCTGCTGCTTGGGAAGGTCAGGTGGTCTTTGGTGAGGAAAGTCCTATGATTTTTGGGAGGGTCCACAGATTCTTAAAGGATTCTTGGTGGTGTGATGGTTTGTAAATTGCAGCAGTGAAAGACATATCATAAAATCATTGTTTGTTTGTCGCAAAAAAAGGAACATGCAACTGTTAGTGATGGTTGAGGCGATGGTTTTGTCCCGCCTTTTCTTGTGAATCCAGTTTGCCACCCTGGTGCCATGTCTTTTGGCTCAGTAGCATGTTCAGTGAGCCAGGCCGGTGGGTGTTTTCGACACTACAGCTGTTGACCCACCATGTCATGGCCGGCCGCGGGGCCCGCCGCGGCACTCTTGCTCCCATCTGTCACGCTGCTCGTCTTCACGACTTCGATGGCCACTGAGATGGATGCCACGTTGCAAAAGAAGAAGAGCTCCATGGGGACTCTCTTAGATGGTCTCACCACTTATGAGGAGAAGCCGAATCCCCGGCTCTCCTGTTCCCCGGGCATCGTCAATGCACGACAGCTCATCGAATCCAAGTTGGAGGAGATCGATGTGAAGCCCATGGGAGACTGGGAGACAAAATTGTCTTGGAACATGTTTACTGTTAACCTTCCCTAAGAATCCGGACCCTCAAACAGATAGGGTTTTGAGGGCTTAGACCCCGGCTATGGAGGGTCCGTGCCATGGAGAGCCCAAGAGTTCTTAGGGTTTGATGATTTCTCACCCGCCATCGTTTCGGGGTCGGGCCCGACACGTAAACGGTCTACCGGGGAAGCAATTTCTTTCTATTTTTTTTCAGAACACAGCTGGTTCCCAAAGCTAGGTTTGGAGGCCATCGCTATTAGGTTGGAGGCCATTGCTATTATAGAGTTGAAACATGTTGAAACCAACATCGCTAAGGAGATGATGGATTTCGATATACCGTGCCGGGCACTATCGACTCAGAGGAGTGTCCGGATGGGATCACCAATTTGATTGGAGTGATTGAAGGTTCGGATCCCTTCCTGAAGGATGAGTACATCATGCTGAGTGCCTGGGTGGACGTTGCCTGTGCATATCACCAAAAAGCAATACCTATAATATCCTATATCTCCTGTTATACTAAACCGATCTAAACCGGAAGAGACCTACCAGGGTCTCCTGAAAACCACTGGCTTGTAGAGGAAGGTCAGGCGTTTTCAGGTCAGGTTCGGGTCTCGGACCCCGGGTGTCAAAGCCGCGAAGGTGGGACTTCACAACCCCCGCGGGCGAACGCCCGAGCAAACATGTTGCTTGCAGTAAAAAACCCACCAGCCAGGGCTATACAGTAGGGTGGAGCTTATGACACAGCCGAACTGGGTGGTTCTAGCATGTTCTTGCAGTATTTCTTTATTGTTGGACCTTTTTTGCTTTTTCCAAGCTTCCTTTGCCCATGAGGTGCTCACATCGATGGTCCTGAGAATGAAGGGCCCTCTAGTGCCCAGGGCCTGCTGGACACCGACAACACCTACGACGACGGTAGTGGCACCGCTGCGCTCTTATCGATGGCCGAGTACTTCGTGAAAGCACCGCCCAGGCGAAGCTTGATCTTGTTCTTCTCCGACGGCCACCTGGCGAAGAAGCTTCATCAAAAGGACGGGGACCCTCAAGGAATCTCAATTGTGTTTTTCTTTGTAACACGATGTTTGGTCATTCAAGGAGTACTTAGCTTGTGTAAGTCCGAAGAAGAGATCGTGTCCGAAAAGAAGAACAACATCTATGATGTCATGACATGTCATGACACAAAAGTGGTGCCACCCAACTACTGCCCTGCCTGTCGACCCGTTTGCCACGGATCGAAGCGGGACATCGAGGCGAAGAGGGGATCCACAACGTGGCAGTCTCCGAGGGTTGGAAGCAGGCCTTTTGCGTGTCGCCCGCGTACTGGGGCCCTCCGGGATGCCACAACTATCCCATTGGCATGACGGCATGGGTGAAGGATAGCAAGAAGAGCTTCAATGAGAAGTCCTTGATGCTTGGCATACAGTGGAAAAACACGAACAAACGTTGGCCTCATTTCCTTTTAGCCAGCTTCTTTGGTGAGACTTAAGCACGATGTATTGCACCCAGTTCAACTCGCAATGCCTCGAACAAAAGAACAAAGGCCGGACCTCGCAAGACTTGGCCCAAAGAAAACCCTGCATTCCGTTGGGGTGAACATACGCCTATACAAGTCCGTGCCTGGCGTTGTTCATCTGGTTTGACTGACATCATGCATGTTTCGTTCTGGTTTCGCATTTCCCCGGACCCAGTCTTTCGGCCGTTGTCGACAGACCTCTTGGGTAGACCTGTCCGTACACGACGTGTGACGACATCGTGTGACGACGTGGTCGACCATCGACTCGACCGTGAAACCGAAACGAACCCCTGGACCCTTCTGCTGGGGTTGAGAGGTACGGCACGGCAGGGCGATTTGGTGCAGACGGACCCCCCCAAGGGCTGGTCGACATGTTTGGACCGTTTTTCGGTCGACAGAACGGTCAACGGTGGCCACTCGGCGACTTGCCCGTTGGACCTCTCATTCGTCGATTCGACTGTTCATCTTCGGTCGTCGGTTTGGCCGACGTCGGGTTCATCTGAAACCGCCCCGTGGCGCCGAAGAAGTCCCCGTGATGTCTCACCGAACCGGTTCCGAACCGCGAACCCAAAACGCCGCTGGCGGAGAAGGAGGGTAGGAATGGGTACGCGGTGGACGGGTGCTCCTGTCACGCACGCGGTGGGAGGGCGAATGAAACGGACGGCGGAGCGATCGGACGCTACCTTCGGGGCTCCTGACCTTATTACGGAGCAAGAACGCTGCTGGGAACAAAGGGCATTCGGATACGAACGGAGCAAGCAGCTACTAAGTCCCAAACCATTCCAAAACCCTCCCGTCTCCGCCTTACTTCGTCGAACGCCTGCGACGACTCGGTGCTCGCTCGCTACCGATGGAAAAGCACAGGAGGCTGGTGATCGCAATGGATCCGCTGGGGGCTCCGGGCATCAAACACCACGACTTCGTGGCGGTGCTGGGCACGGAGACCACGCCAGGCCTGCAGAAGCTCGTGGAAGGAGCCTTCGCAGGTGCGAGTGGAACGTGAGGAGTGGACCTTGCCGCGATCTTGTTCTTTTGGTTCTTTTGTGTGTGTACATACGGAAAGAGATCACACATGACATGTTTTTTGAAAGCCGGAATGTGTTCTTGAAGAATCTTCGCCCCAAGCACTGATCATCACTGATCTATATATCCCAGATCTTCCAACTATGCAAAATGCCTGCCGAACTTGGTTTGTTTTGCCCTTTCTTAGTGTTTTAAGGCATCAATTGTACGGATCTATCGAAACATTCTGCATCATGGTTGTTTTCTTGCGACGACTTTTCCTTCCCATCGTTCGCAGCCATAACCCCACGGGCCGCCGGGCCGTGCGGTTCGCCAGGCGCTGCGACGAAGCCCTTGTACGTGAATCGCATGTATGTGGGCACCTCTTATAGCGATGGAGATGCCTTCACGAAGGATTTCACACCACTTTGCTTGCAAGAGGACGGCATGGTGTGTGTTGTTTTCTTCCCGCCCGGTGTTTTGTGTTTTGCTAATTGTTTGTTGGTCTGTTTTGGTTTGACGTTGTTTTTGTTGCTCATGTGTTGTTTTAAAAATATTTTTTCACGACATGTTTGGAACATTCCAGTCAGTTTCTTTTTGGGTCGGTTGAACGTATAAGTACTTCGTAACACCACTTAATTTTGGTGCTTTTCAGACTAGGGCGACTAGGGATACCTAGACCCTCGTTGGGCAATAAGTCCTACCCAGCTTCATTTAATTGAGACTCAACATGAAGCCGATTTTCACAAAGAACGCCTAAGCTGCAGCCTTGGAGGGTCAAGAACGCCGAGGCACGATCGTTCTTATACTTAGGAGGCAAAGCCAAAATGAAAAGCTTCTGGGACAACAAACGTTTGTCAATTGACGCTGGTCCCCGGTTCATTGTTGTGCACTTGCCCTGACACAGTGCCAAAAGCAAATGGTTCATGCTGGAACATCCAAAGTCTTTGAACTTCATGTTATTCACTGCCCCAAAATGGCTACTACTGTATAGCCACTGATTGTAGTGAGGAGTGCGGGGGCCAGAACGCCTGAGTACGAAGAACGTTTGAGTGACGGATGGATTCTTATTTGTTTCATTTAGTTGACCATTGCCACCTGAAGGACAAGAAGGACCAAGCACAGACCAAGGCCCCTTTACCCATAAGTATAGGCAGAAGTTTCTGCCCAAAAGGAACTTCTCTAGGTATGCGTGATATGTCGTTTGGGGTGGCCGGTGTCCCATCTATTCCAGACAATCCATGGGTCTGATGGAAGAAGAAGAACAAGAAGAAGATGACATCTGAAGAAGACACCACTTATGAAAGACAACTGAAGTCCCATGGCTTGTTTTCGGAATCAGGAAGTCCAAGGTCCACAAAGGAAAGGCAGGCATCCCATCTATACTCCCTGAGGGCGGAGCCTCGTCTGTACACGCGGAATTTCCCTCGAATGTACACGCGGAGAATTGATCTCGTTTGTGCACGCGAAACTCGGATGTGCACGCGGCTTCCTCGGCTGTACACGCGGCTTACACGGCTGAAAAAATGAATGAATGAATGAATGAACCCAACATCATCAATCAAACGCAGAGCGTCTGTGTGACGTGAACCTGTGGAAGCAATGAGCAAAAAGAGATCATCATGTAGATGAATGTCCAGAGGGACGTTATTAACACATCATCAATCAAACAAAGCAATGAGCAAAAAGAGGTCATCATGACTCAATTTGTGTGTGCGCAAATGAGGCGAATCATGTGTGCGCATTTGAGTTTGGGGTAACATGGGCTGTTTAATGAGGAATGTAATCGATGTGTGCGCAGATGAGGCGAATCATGTGTGCGCAATTGAGTTAAATATATAAGAAGTCTGTGTGCGGATGTGAGGGGAATTATGTGTGCGCAAATGAGGCGCCATCCCTCCCTGAAACCCTCATGGTGAAAGTGGAGTGAGTGAGTCCACCACCTGTTTGGTCTTTGGCTTTGTTCCTTGCTCATTCAATTTCTGGGCCTGATCCACCTACTTCCATGCCGGACCTACAAAAAGCATCAATTTCTTGGGGTGTCTAAGTTTCGCTCCTTGAAATTGAGGGTATCCATTAACTTCCTCTTACTAGTAGCGTCCTTGTTCCTAGTAACAGTAGTACGGCCAGGAGCCCCTAGTAGCGTCCTTGCTCCTAGTAGCGATGCCAGGAGCCCCTAGTAGCTTCTTGTTTCAGATTTCTCGTCCCAAGTCCCCGCGGTTGGCCCCAGACCTGCTAGCGATTCGCTGGCGAGTCTGGTGCTGGAAGTCTTCCAGCCAGAAACAGATATCCCGGCTGCTCCAGAAAACACGGCCTAATCGTTGGGGATGAAGACCTGGTGTTTTTGTGAGGACTTCACACATCAAGCCAGTTTGCGTGCGCAAAGGGTCAAGATTTGGGCACGTTTGAGTTATAGCACACGACGACCAGAGGCACTGTTCTCGGGTGCTTCGTTTTGGTGCGTGGGTTCCGGAAGACTCTTCACTGCGGAAGGTATCAGTTTCCTCCAAACATATATGTTTGCATGAACTTCTCTTTAACAGCCCTATAGCCCATCCCATATATGTACCACTACAGGGTCCTATATGTTCTCTCAACTTCTCTTTGACTCATGATATCAATCTGTTTGCAGGAAGTGAAGGTTCGCTCTGATTTCATCAGGTCACTGAAACGTTCCAACATCATTAGCTGTATTAATCGGCTGGTAGCTTAATGAGAAAAGCTTCTTGAATGTGGCAAAAAAAGAAAAGCGACCTCTGCAGGAGCCTCCGTGTGCACCTCTGTGTTGCTTCTATGGCGTTCCCACCGTTTGGATGGCACAAGCCGGCTTCGGCAAGTACCATGGAGGTGGAGATGGTTATCAGCTTCTACCAGTCATGGAGTCAGGAGAGGAGCCCTTTTTGTTGTGAACTCGAGCCTGTGCCTTTTTTGCTTTGTTGGTGAAATCCAGCTACAGTTAGGAAGAGCATTCAACACTCATGCCTATGAATTTGAGAGGTATATAAATGGTGAAATACATTCTAATTTAGAATCATTTAGATAACTACAATAATTCACTACAGCTCCTGACACTTCAGGCGTGTAGGTGGAACATGAATGTTGAGCGTTTTTTTCATTTGAAACAGAACGTTGCGTTCGTCCTCCTGCTTTTCGCCGTCATCCGATCGTTGACAGTTTGGTGAGCCGTCGCTTCTGCGTTCAGGCGGCATTGGAGTGACCATTCCCAAAGAGTTGGCCACCTTTGCCTTGGACATGCGACGCCTGGCTGGGGAAGAATGCGGCATGGGGTTCGATATGGTTCGATATTTTTGGGTTCCACATGGTTGGACCATGTGATTGTCATGTGAGTTGTGTTTCTTTAAACAAACAGATGAGCGGAGATCATACTAAGTCATGCATGTACAACGTATGAGATGATTCACCTGAACTGGGATGCAGCAGCTCTTTTTTTCTCTCTCTCTCTCTCAACAGCACCACTCGCGCCCGAAGACGCTTGATGACGCGCCAAAAAGGCAAGAACTTCGATGACGACGCGCTGCTGAAGGTCACCGAGTCGCTGAAGTCCGTGGTGACCAGCTTGGCCGACAACGACGCCTTGTCGCGCGGCACGGGTGGGTATGGCGATTTGGGCAATGTGTTTTGGTGGCTGAAGAGGGTCAGTTGGGTGTGAATCATGTCTTTAGTTGAGGGTTGGGAAGGTATAGGAGGTCTCAATTGCTGACCTGTCGGAGGGTCGTGGTATATGCCGTTCCATGGAGGACAGGGTGCTATCTACTTCAGGAAGTCGGGGTGTCACCTCCACGGCCGGACTCGACATGGGACTCGTCCAACCATTCTGACATGGAACCGCTGGGGTTTGTGTGTGTGTGTCATATAACGACATAACATGATATAACCCACGGAACATCATGACTTATTTTGCCATTCCCAGGGTGTCCCACACCATCCGTTGATGGAATATGATGGAATACTTGCATACAGTATCTACAGTATATTATATATCTACCTGGGAGGCCGACCAAAAATGCCAACGGTTCTTGAGATTTGTGATTGCGAGATTTTGTGGATGGTTTTGTTGCTTTTCTGGTATGTGTGGTTGTTCGTTCTCTTTCATTGGATGGTAGGCTACTTCGGCTGTTTGATTCGTAAAAATTCGATTGGATGGTTCACAGCTGAGGTCTAGCTTAGTCTACAACCCGAAGGTCTACTCTGACATCTATGCTGCCAACCACGCATGTGGCAGTTTGCGTATGCCGGTGTGTGGCTTTTCTTTGCAAGATGCCGTGAACAACAAGAATGCCTACGATTTTTTGAAGTATGCATTGTCCAACACGCCAGCCATTGATACCCAAGTGGCTAGCACCATGAAGGCCTTTTGCGGAACCATGTCCGATTCAATTCAGAAGATCCTTGAGGTGTACAAAGACGTCAACGAGGATCAGTATTCCATGATCGTTCCAAAGGGATTCAACTCCACCTTGCCCGCAGTGCTGGCTGTCTCGACCATGGCTTTAGACTTCTATGCCGATGAGCCTTACAGACAGCCCTTTTATCAATGAGATCTATATATGGGGCCCCATATGTCTCACCAGATCTCAGTGTGCGAAGCCACAGTGTGAAAACAGCGACCTGGAGAAAGAGAGAGAGAGAGAGAGACACCCCCTGGAATTCCAACAAACATTGTATTTTAATAGGAGCAAGAAGCTACTATAGGGGCTCCTGGCCTTACTACTAGGAGCAAGAAGCTATTAATTTGTCTTTATACCGAATGGGTTATCACATTCCAGGACCTGAGCCGTTCGTGACCCGAGATCCGCCTAACGCGGATGTCATGACTTGAGACTCAACTCGGTCACGAACTAAAAGTGGCTGAAAAAATACCATCCCTGGATCCTCCAGTTCGTACCTTAGAAAATGGGACATGAGCCCAATAACAAAACATGTATATATATAGTAACAAGAAGCTACTAGTAACAAGTGCATCGCTATAGTAGTAACAAGTGCCTTACTAGTAGTAACAAGAAGCTATTAGAATTAAATGTATATACTTACAGTACTTGTCGTACTTGTCTTTGTCCGAGCTACCACCGGTCCTTGACGTCCAAGCAAAAACCGCATCCAGGGTCCGGCGGATCCACGAGGGTTGAGGTTTCTGCCGATTGAGCATAACGTACGTATACCCTGCGATTGAGTGTTTCTCACGTGAGAACAAATCGATCATTAGTCAATCTGGTGGTGAAGGTATACAGATTCAAATTCATGGTTTGCGAATCCAGTCCAGGCATATACCTGCCTATACATCAACTGCAGGTCAACCACCCTAGGTCGCTGTGTTTTTCGATCCCAGACGGCGCGGTGTATCGAAAGCACCTCGTTGCGGACCACCGTGGCGGAAAGCCCGTACTGTGACCACTCGTCGCGGAATCTGCGTCTGGAGGAGGCCTAATTACCATTTGAGGTGGGTTTGGTAACACCTTCCAAGACCGGAAAACTGCTTGAATCTGGTTGTCTAAAATCACACCAAGAACAGCGTTCGGTCAACAAAACCCCTGAAAACAGCTGGTGGCTTGCCCAGGAAGCCTGAAATCCTTCGTGCGAACGCGAGCTGGGCGTAAGCCTCGCCCGAACACGAGGCTTCGGATGCCACTGGAAGACGCGGTCGGCAGGTGGGGTCGGACGACGGGTGCGGCTGGGAAGTCCATCCTCCCTATAGGCCTATCGAACCATTGTTGTAGCCATTCGGTCCTTCAATACCATAGGGTTTGGTTCGGGTCCAGGAGCGTCTGGGTACTAAGGGTTTTACACTCACCGAACCAGGGTCAACCGTTTAATGGTCGAACGGAAGTCGGCATGGGAACACGTCGGTGGATGAGTCAGTCTGGGCATGATAGTTTCTGAAAATGATGCTGAACCGCATCAAATGCGGTGACGTGGCTTGCGTTCGTGCGAAGCAGGCTTGTTTTGTTTTCATGTATTGACCTAGGATGGGCAGTGGATGGGCATAGCATGGCTTCCGACAAGCACAGCGAGGTACAGTGGCCAAGAGCTTGGAGCTTGGTACGACTGGAAAGAGCTTGGCCAGCGTTCCAACATGCCAAGTGTATAATGGTCAGATCACACCGAAGACACGAGACACGACGTCCCATGGGACGACTTACTTACGACACGACGTCCCATGGGACGACGACATATATGTAGGGGTGGTTGACCTGGGGCCAATGTAGGCATACATTCCCCATGGAGTGTTGAGTCATGTGGGTAACCGCCTTTGCAGATCATCCAGCACTGGCAGTACCCAGACGCTCCAAACAGCCCTTGGTCTCTCAAAACAATAGGGATTTGAGGGTCCAGACCCCTCCATATGAGGGTCCGACCCCTGCATATGAGGGGTCAGGAGCGTCTGGGTAAGAGAAAATGAGAGCACAGAGTACACGACGTCTAAACCTATCTCAAAAAGCGAAGAATAAATGTCATACGCCAGTGTGTTGCTGATTTGAACCAGCTGTGCAAAGAAGCAAGTAGACATATACCCCGTGTTCTCAGAAAACCTACCAGCATACGTACCCAGCATTTCTTGATCCCAGACCATTGATGTGACTGGAATAGTTACGTAGGTATAAATGTAGGTAACTATTCCAGTCCCATCAGTCGTGTCTGGGGATTGCGGCCATTTGAGAACCGAGCAACCCGGCTGTCGCCGACTTTATGGCGTGGACCGAAGCGCACACGTGCTCAGGGGCAGCACGGGCATAGGTTTGGGGTGTCCCATCACTATTTTAGAGAAAGGCCTACAACCATCATCCACAGTTTACAGGGAATTTGGCTATGCCCAAGGGCCGTCAGTTGGCTGCACCGCATGGACATGAGCCATGGCAGGAGCTATTCCCGAAGAAAGATGGCAAGTCGAATAGAACATGGATTGGATGTGGGCTTTTATGTTGAAAGATGAATTGAGTTGCCAATTCGTTTGCCTCATGGCAGAGGTATGGAGAGTTATGATATATGGCCTGATATGGCTGTGAGTCAAAACCCAGAGCCGTTTTACCGTAGGTTGACCCCAGTGTCACTCACCGTGTGCGATCGACGGTCTTCAAGTAGCCCCGAACGTCGCGTCCGATCGCTCCGTTCGTAGCGATGCCAGGAGCCCCGTTCGTAGCTTCTTGTTCCGGTCTCAAAAGAAAGAGCCAAACACTGAATCCCTGCGACGAAAACGATCTCCCTGCATGGTAGTTTGTGCAATGGTGGTGTGAGAAGATTTCTCCCAAGTGCACTAGACCAGGTTGCAAAACACATACCTGATGAAGGACTCGACTGGAGTGACTAGAGTAAAAGAAGGTCTTCAGACCATTCTTCTGAGAGTCTGTCCGACTCCCAGGGTACATCTGAAATGATCTTGGACTCAGAAATAACTCTGCCTGTGTTCCACTCATGGTGGGATTTGTTTTCCCCGGCGGAAGTACCGTTCGGATCCATTCACTAAGAGGCTGCGAACTGCTGAATCCAGGGACATGATGCCAGACCCTTCTCCAGATTAGAGAACACTTGAAGTATCTTGAAGTCCTCCATAAATGATGCGAATCCAATGACGTAATGGAACAACAGTTGCCGATCGTAGGAATTGGGAAATTGACCATGATCATGCCCAGAATGGAATCCAATTTTTTTTGTACTGGTGTTAGGTGTGATGTTCATATCTTCTCGTTGGTGTTCCGTTTTCTTTGTGTCTCTCAGGTCATCTCAAGTCTTTTCACTGCCACATTCTAGCGCCCTTGCTGCCACCACCTGCCACTTCAACAAGTCATTTCACGACCTCGGTCGGGCCCGTGCCACCGCAGCATGGGTGCCGAGGTGGGTGAAGGTGGAGACTTGTTGAAGTGGCAGGTGGTGGCAGGTATAGAAGATTCTGAAACAGGGATGTCATTTTGCACTCACTGTGTGCTATACAGTGCAAGCGGGAGCACAGGAGCACGGTTGAGAGTGCAGGTTTTGACATGACTTAAAAGCCTTACAAGTGGAACTCACAAGTGCATTGCTATGAAAACCTCTCTCGGCCAAAGCAGGATGAGCCTTCCTTTGTCCAACTGGTCGCCGAAGCAGGAGCTGATGCTTGGACGTAGGAGGAGGGGATGGTTCTGGGCGAAATCGAGGGATGAGACCTGAGGTTGGAGGCCATCACCAGTAGGGTGAAGGCCATGGCGACGTTTTGGTGAGGGCGATCCTTTTTCCGTGCACGTCGTCAGTGGGCGAAGGGCGAAGAGTCATGTCGGTCTTTCGGTCCATGTTTGGTCCACCCAGGGTGCCTTTGAATCATGTGGGTTGCAGGGTTTCAACTCACACGGTGTGACATCTATACATAATTAGAGGACCTCAAATCCTGTCCCTATCTGGTTCTTCCTTGTCCGTTTCGCGATCGCTCGTAACTCTGGGGAACCCCCTGATTGTGAGTTTGCTTCCATTCACAAATATCACCTGGATTAGTTGATGCTGCGTGCTCTCCCGTTTTGCCGCTGGCTGTGATCCTGCATGGTACCTCAGCCTCAAGATGCAGAAAAAAAATAGAGGACCTCAAATCATGACTCGAAATCGATAGATCATCAGCACCATTGAGCGAATTGAGATCCCCAGCACCATCCATGGGACATCATGGCACTGGAGATAGCTTTACCATGCTTCGGACACCCCATGTCCAGCCGAACCATCACGCTTCGGCTGAGGAACAAGATGTACCAGGCTAGCTGGCCGGGCGGTTTCCGATCTGCGGTGCATGTGCTGGCTGGTTTGGAAGAAGGCTTTGAAGATGACTTGGCTTCCATCTATGTCCCTTCCATGTGCCAAGAGTTGTATATGGACCCCCAAATAGATAGAAGTTAGAAGGATCCCCACCTATAGGAAATGTATTGAAAGCCGTTTCTATCCACCTCCTGCCCTGAGGCGCAGGTGCTTTGGGACGAGTACATGGCCAACACGGCTCCGCATCGGGAAGCGGGCGCTCCGCTCGGTTGGGTCAACACCGTGCCCACCGAACCTGAGCGGACAGGAGCCCTAGGCCCTGGCGGTATTTTCCTGGACCTCAACCAAGTGGTGTATTGTCCTGGACCTTGACTGTCTGGAGATCCCGCACAACGTAGTGGGGGGCGAAATCAGCCAGGTGACCCCACACGGGTACGGAGCTGGTTGTATGATTGGATTTTAAGTTGTACAACATGCACTGACAAGTCAAGTCACTGTCTCAGCTCTCTTAATACTTATTCAGCTGATGTTGCATCGCCTTCTGAGTGGATCGTCCCTTGCTTGCTTGCCGTTCAGCGATTGCCGCGGCAATCGCGTGGACATGTCGCCTCTTCTTTCGCTGCCCGAGGCCGCGAAGTATTTGACCGATGTGGGTGGCCGCTTGGTCGTACTGGCGGGCACCAACCACGTGTGGCGCGACGCCATCCCCGAGCGCTTTGAGCGGATGACGGCGAGTCGGGCAAGCGCAGGCGAGGGGTGTCAAATGAGGAGATGTACTGAAAGTTATGTGAGGCAGAAGCTTCTTAAAGCTGGGGGGTGGGGGTCCAGAATGCTTCATCCATGATATACATTTGAATGTTATACCTTTTTTTAGGGATGGGTTGAACCAAGTGAACTGAAACCACCACCTTCCAAAGGATATCCGATAGTACAGTGTTTTGCGTAGTCCAGACACTCGGAACAGATGCTCCTGGAAGCTGTTTTGTCATCTTTGACGTGTTTCTATTCCTTTTTTGGGGGGGCACATCTTGGAAGATGCCACTGATGGATCCTGTGTTTTCTTGCGATGCAACACATGGAGACATGGTTCTATTCGCCGGTACCGGTACCAGTCGGGTCCAGTCATAGCGAAGCCTGAGGTTCGGTAGGACGACGGGCGCCATCACCCCTTCACCTGCAGGTGATCCACCTCGGAAAGCTGTCTCTGTGGTCACTTGGCCCAAGGAAGCGAGGTTCAGCTCTCACCCACGAGCTTCCAGGAAGTCGGGCCAGGGGTGTGCCGAACGGAGGAAGGAAGGATAGGGGTGCCGCGACGTCACATCCACTCACTGAAAACCATGTCCGACCTGGAACTGCTGGTTGTTTGTTTTCCCGAATGCGAAGCGAAAGGGTTCCGGTTCCCGAGAAGCAGTCTGGGCGTGGACCTGTGGAGACCTCGTGACACCAGGTGTGCATTCGGGTTCGTGGGTTCCTATCACCCTAGGGATCCAGCCGTACCTCCTCAAAAGGTACTTGGACCCTCCAAACCCACCCCAAACACCTTCTCAGGGGTACTTGGATCCTTAGGGTCAGCTTTCTTTTAAGGCTTGTGAACGTTTCAAGAACAGTTGAGGCAGCATGCCTTCGTCCAATCGGGCATTTCCAACGCCATCCAGTGCCCGCCTCCCGCTCAGATCGTCCAATCGGATGGTCTCCAATACGAAGGCGAACGGATTGATGATGTTTCGAGCTTTGAGTTCTCAATACAGTACGTCCCTTTGTTCCTATTAGTAGCTTCTTGCCCCGTGCGTAGGATCCGATCGCTCCGTTCGGTTCGCGATGCCCGACATGCTCCGTTCGTAGCGTCCTTGTTCCTATAACTACTACTGGTATAAGCATCACGACATGCCAAGTTGTTCACTCAACATCACGGGTGCCTCCTGTCCTCCCGAACGGCATCGGCTGGATCTCGCCTCGGCCCGACCGGTACACCGAGCGAGCGAACACGACGCGCCGGGACCGAGGTGTCAGATCCTCCTTAGACAGTGTCCTGAGACCCTTTTTCGGCGTCCAAAACGCGAAATCCACCCAATCACACGAATTCTCGCCCGATCACAAAAATTCACGCCCGAATCACGCCGATTCTCGCCCGAATTGAAATGTCGGACATTGCTTTAAAACTGCAGATTTGCAGGTTGGGTGATTTACAAGTAATTTGCAACATTTGCCTGAATAACGATTTCTGCCCGCAGGCAGTTTTTGAGGACAAACCCTGGTTCAGGCAGATTTTCTTGAACAGGCAGAAATTTGAGCCTCAATGAGGGTCCAGGTATATATAGCTTCTTGCCCCGTGCGTAGGGTCCGATCGCTCCGTTCGGTTCGCCATGCCCGACATGCTCCGTTCGGTTCGCGTCCTTGTTCCTATAACTACTACTGGTATAAGCATCACGACATGCCAAGTTGTTCACTCAACATCTACGGGTGCCTCCTGTCCTGTTTGAACGGCATCGGCATCGGCTCTCGCCTCGGCCCGACCGGTACACCGAACGAGCGAACACGACGCTGCTGGGTGAGGTGCCATGGCGTGGGGAGCAACTGCCACCTTTAGGCGGAGAGAGCAACTGGGGCACGTCGCGTCCGTACTTTGCTGCGAAGTTGAAGTACTTTGCTTTCCCTTTAAGAAGTCGAAGTTGAAGTTGAAGATGTCATGAAGCTCTGGGAAGTCGAATCCGGGGTGTCCTGTGCTGGTCGTTTGGAGATCCCGGTTGATCCACGGGCCGAGTGGGCGAAACCAGCCAGGTGACGATTCGATCGGATGGATCCACCGCCATGACCGGCGCCGTTTCACTCGGTCATTCGGCGCCGGTCATAGGAGTGCGAATCGAACCCCGAAACGACCTGGAGAAAACGAAAACTCCTCCAGTCCCAATCATAATATGTTTCAAGCATCTCAAGCTGGCGCCATATTTGGATCATATCAGACATGATCAGACCAAGTCCATGGTGGTTTCTGCTTGGGCCTGGACACCTCCGGGATGGTTTGAACATGTTTGAACTTGTCTTGTTGCAGAGGTGCTTGCGATTTCCTGGTGCCCATGGAGGGCCCTGGTGGTGGGGAGGAACTGGCCCAGGACTCGAGAGAAGACCGGTGCTCCGACCGAAAGCGGAAGAGAAAAGAACGACTCCCAGACCATCCGGACTGGAATGTTGATTCTTATTGATTCTTCAGTGAAGACCATTCAAAGAATGACCTTGGTTTTGGCATGTGTAAAAAGTGTCTTCTTTAGGATTCAGACCATCAAGCCACCGGTTGTTCAAATCCTAAGGTTCATAACACCTGGACTTTCCTCGAGGTGTCCTGGCTGGAGATTCATTCCTAGCCTGGGGGATCTCTAGCCAGGGCAACCCGAGGAAAAGGATGGTCCTGGTACTTGTTGGGCTGGTTTTGTGATGTTCAGACGTCAATGGCGCTGGTTAGTTCGAATTCCAGTGCCATGGCACCCGACCATTTGGGGACTTCGCGAGCTGCCGCTTCACGCCCTCCACCCGCAGCAGGACTTGTTGCGTCAGCGTGAGCGACTCCGAGGGCAGTCGCGGGTCTTCCCGGCCGGATACCTTTGAGCACGATCGACCAAAAAGGTGTTGAAGATGCCTTAACTTGAGCACACCCCGGATACCTTCGGAGCGAAGATCTGAAACAGCTCGAAAGATGTGGAACAGGTCTTTCTTTTGGTGTCCTAGTTTGGGGGCCAGGTCCTTGGAAGGTTACTGTCGGATGTTTCTCGGATTTGGATGGCGCCATCCCAGAAGGGAACCAGACAAACACCAGAGAGGTCGAGGATTAACAGACCCGATTCTGGCGCTTCCAGACCTGCCTCCCGATCGACGATCTGTTTCGCGGACGGACCACGCAGTGTTCGCGCAGCCATGTGCAGACGATGTCCCAGTGGATCCTATAAACTTGTTCGTCTTTCCCAAAACATCCAGGCAAACCAGTATAGCTGCATAGCTGGTAACCAGTTCCAAAGACTAACACCAATTCGACCGGTTCCCGAATCCCTGGTTCCTTATGTTTGGGAACCAGGTCCTTCCAACTGTTTCTTTCTTTGGACCCTTCGAATCACCTCAAAGAGGCAGATACCTCAAACAGAAGGTCCTGGCAGCGACCTCGTGCTTTGCATTCATCCAGCCACTCCCTCTTTCGATTCGATCCGGGGCCACCGAGTCGGCGCGCACTGGGCGGTCCCACTTCGGCTCCAGCCGGCCGTGCGCACCATCTTCGCCTCGCCTTCGAACGACGGGAAGTGCGGCGCCTCGACGCGTCGGCGTTCCGGTGCGTCGCGATCTGAGAGGCTGCGGGTTCGAATGGAGCAAGCCAAGGGGCGAAAGGGATGTGTTCAATGTTGTTCGATTCATGTTCAATCGGTTTTCTTTCGGAAGAGATTTGCTGGGCAGGACCCCGTGTATGAATGAAAACCAAATTAGTATAGATCTGCGAACTGGTCACTGAGTAGACATCGATTGCCGCAGCACATGTGGCCCAAAAAGGCTTTTTGGGTCGAGTTCTCGAGGTGATGTGCATTCAGATCTGCTGTGAACCCCAAATACACACGTTATGTCACGTTACGTCCGGAAGCTCACTTCGCTGATTCCATTGACAGAGGTTCCCGTTTCACGGGCCTTGCGTGCCTCACCGTGCCATCGCTTCCTTTGCCTGCAGTTCGTTGTGAGCGGGAAGCGGTGACGTCTGGAAACCATTGGACCACCGAAACGCCATGCTGCACATGGAGGCGACGAGCACACGAGGATTTCCACCGACTCCCTTCGGGTTTGGGAGACCGGTTCCGGAAGTCGGTGTAGCGCGTAGCAGAAGCTCGCATATGACACGGCCGGAATGGTTCGACTTGTCTTTAACCAGTCCGGCGACATGGGACATGGGTACAAAAACATCATGACTTACCCAGACACTCCATGTATGCCATATATGCCTACATTGGGGTGGTTTTAGGGGTCAATGTATGTAAATATGCCATACATGGAGTGTCTGGGTTATAAGGATCCCCACTGAAATTCGCACCCCAAAAAACACACGAAAACGGTGTTGAGAATGAATTGGAACGGCATGAGTGCAGATGAGTGCAGGTCAGTGGGTCTCTTGATTCGGGGCTAGCAGTCATCCGCGCTGCTGAACACCACTCCACACCACTGAAACACCACCAAAAAGGGCGTCGGGGGCGACTGTCACGACGCTACGCTTATCGGAGGCTCCGCCGGAGGCTCGTGGCAAACTGGAGTCCTTCGATTGCAAGGAGAGTTCCGGGGACCATTGGATCGGACTCGACGGGCGACGGGGGCGGGCGCTTTTTTGTGCTGCCAGGACCTTCCACACTGGGAAGGTCCTGGTGCACTTATATGAGGGTGTTAGGAGACTTGGAGAACAACAGAGAACTGGAGAAACATTGTTAGTGTTGGGGTCTTCAATTCAGGTCCACGGAGTTTCATTGCATAAGCTTCACACGGCCGCCGCGAAGCTCCATTTTCTTCGACCTCGGTCGTGCTTTCCGGTCTTGACCTCGGCTTTGACCGTCTCCGTCTCTCCTCGGTGCGAGCATCAAGTGCCAGGAGGATGTGTACAAGGAGTTGGACACGGGAGCCACGGCGATCATGTTGAGGCGAACACGACGCAACTCTCGACGTTTTTACGTCACAGCTGGTGGTCGACGTGGTTCTAAATTCGGTGGTCACAGGTGGTCACCTTCCCTCTTGGTCCATGCTATACCCGAATTGGCCTATACTATTGAATTCATGGTGGGCCAGGAATCCTATAAAGGGATAGGGAAAGACCCCTGTTGCCCTGCAGAAAAGAAAAAAGAAAACACTATTCCCTCATTCCGAATGCCTGCCTGCCTCCCCACGACTCGGAGCCTCGGCTCGTATGTTCAGCCCCTCGGAGACTCGGACCGCCCGACGTCCAGGCGGCTACCAGCCAAGTTCACGGCGGAATCGCTGATTCAGGTGCTGGATGAGATCACACCAGGCGTGCCGCCCGTTAGAGCGGCGTGCCGCCCTGTCACAAACAGCGCAGTCAGGGGGTTGTGGGGGTTCTGCGTGGGTTCGGTGCGGCACCGTGGGCTCAGCATGGTTTGGCACCTCGAACTCAGAGCTCCATGCGGAAAAACCTACGCATCGCCAAACGTGAGGAACGGTTTTGCTGTTCCGCCGTGTTCTGCCGTGGGAACACGCGTGCATTGGCTGTTCCGAATCTGGTTTCCAAGGGTTTCTCACCAATCCGGCTTGGAGGGGCCACGCCAGGAACAGAGCGACGGAGCGATCGCCGGGTGGTGTGTCTGGGGTGGGACGGAATCCAGGCCGCTACAACTTTGTCTACGTGCCCCACGACAAGCGCAAGCTCCGAAACTTGGCGCTCGCCTTCGTGAACTTCAGCGAGCCTTCTGCAGCACAGCAGCTTGGACACCAACACAGCTCCAAAGACGTCGGTATCCGACTTCTTCCCAAACCTCGCAAGACTTGGGACTTGTAGGGTGAACTCTAGCCCTATACAGAAGTCCGTGTTTTTACACGGGCCTCATGGTTTTTCACCACTCGGCTCGGTTTAACCCCATGTTTCCTTCTGTTTTGCATGTCACCGGACCCAGTTTTTCACCGGTACGTGCCGGTCGTATTCGTCGCCAGGCAGGCCTATGACTTTTTCAAGAACGTGAAACACCCGGTGATGGGCCCCAGCGTGCGAGTCTGTCAGGCCGGGGAGAGGCAGAGGAGATAAAGACGTGAAGCAAAGGAGGGAGGGAAAGGCTTGGAGACGGGAAGTTCAAAAGAACACCTGAACGAATGGCAAGGGCCTCCAACCTAGAAGCGATGGCCTCCAATCGCGATGGCCAACCTACTTGCCTACTTCAGGAATTCACCCAAAAACACATCAAGGGGTTGGAGTTGCTGTTCCGAGTAGTCACATTGGTAGTCACTGAGTGTTTTGGTGCTGTGGTGAAATGTGGTGTTTTTTTCCCTTGTCTCATGTATTGATCAGATTAGTTCTTTGGGATTCAGACTATTAGGCCAGGAAGCCTATCAGAAAAGCCAATCAAGTGGGAAACCATCCCCTTTCTTCCAATTCTTGTTCAACGACTTGCAGCTGCTTGTTCGCTTCGATTCACACCGTGTTCTGCCTCCTCCACCCGCGAGGCAGATATCCAAGGCCTTGGCAGCAATCTGGCCTATTTCATGGCAAGGTCGGCAGACCGGTCGGCAGATCTGACAGGGTCGGTGACGGTCGGTGTGACGGTCGGTGATGTCTCAGAGGTGGGGTATAGACCCCTCTAACCACCCCACCCTTTTTGGGCCCAGCGAAGCGAGTGAACCGAGTGAACCGGCACAGAGTCCGGACGGGAAAAGGATAAGAAGAACAGTCCGCATTGTCATCGTGGACTGTACCTGACCAAGATTGGAAGCTTTGTAGCCAAAGGCTCATTGGACCCTCAGTTCGCCAGAGTTTTAACCCTCACAGCCAGGGTTTTGGACCGAGCCCACATGTAGCAGTTTGAGGGTCCATGAGCCTCTGGGTAGCAGCTATAGATCGATAGTGAAATCACCGGGCAAGAACAAACATATACTTTCAATGGTCCCAGGCAGAGGCCAGCATACGCCAGCTTGTTCCTGGAAAAAGACTCGTTGCGGCTGCACCTTAGCCTTTGACCATGAAAAGGACCTGGTTTTGTAGTCTGAAAATCCTTATTATACAAATAGTCAAATACAATTCAAATACCTGGATCATCCATAGTGGGTGTCCAATAGAAATAGACCGTGGTCTCCATTGGGCAGTGCTAGGTATGTATTTTGGAATTAGGAAAGGCATGCGGACCCAGACGCGTCGTATCGTGCCTCGCCATGAATTCTCCAGGTTTGGACTACAAGAGATGGGCAATCCGCACGCACCAATGGTCTTCGAAAACGGAGTTCGTCAAACCAACATGGTGGAGGTGCGAGGAAAGAAAACGTCGTTCTCTTTCAGCACGTGAAGTCTTCGCATGAAGTGAACATGAAAAGATCACCTCGAGTTGTGAGCGCTTCAAAGCTGTGCAGATCGCTTCAAGTCCTTGGGAATCCAGTGTCGTTGACGTGGCGGTGCAGGCCGTGAAACGCCACGTGACGGTGGACTTGCTCGTGCAAGTGCGGCGCCGAATTCGGGGAAGGGGGCGGTCCGCTGGAGGATGGTTTCGCTGGAGGACTGGGGGGGGGGTCCGATAGTTTCAAAGTACATCGCTACTAACAAGTGCATCACTAGTAGCAAGGGCATCGCTAGTAGCAGCTTCTTGCTAGTAATGCACTTGTTACTAGTTTCAACCTGACGTCTCTCCCATGGGTTTTGAGGTCACTAGATGGGGCTCCAATGTTCGGTCACGAAGTGAAAAAGCGAATCACCGGTCGCTCGGGGTGGTTTTCAGTCCCCGTCTACGTGAATGGATGTGACAGGGGCACCCTGACTACCTCCGATCGCACCCCTTTGGAACTGCTGGTAGGTCGACATAGATCGTGCGAGGAACAGCGACCACCACATCTAATTTGGACATCGATATGTCCAAAGAGTTGAAAATTTTTGAGATGAGATCTCAACTGTGGCTTGATGGCACATGAGAGATGGAGCTGTATGGCAGTCCCATTCGTCGTGTCCGGGTAATGCCACAGACCCTGATCCAGTCGTATACCGAACCTGTACGACGTACGACCCGAAGCATGGCACCGGCTTGTCTCAATCACAGTGTCTCCTTCCGGGACCGTCGTACCCTGAGGTTCGGTACGACTGGTACGGATCCCTAGGTGGGTCATTCCCTAGGGATCCAGTCGTACCTTCTCAGAAGGTACGACTGGACGCTCCAAGCCTACATAAGAGTGTCTTCAATCACCTTCTGAGAAGGTACTTGGATCCCTAGGGATTCACCATCCCTCTTGAAAACGATGTCCTATACGGGGGAATACGGACACCGACATGGTTCATGATGGGGTCCGTGAGGCCCACAACCGGATGGAAATGCAAGCCATGAAGATCGCTGTGCCTTGGAACGATCGGATACGAGCAGCGCACGGGCGAGCGCACGGACGAGCGAGGCGCAGGAGCGACGGCCCAACAAGCGCGGCGTGGTGCGTAGCGTCCGATCGCTCCGTTCGGTTCGCGATGCCCGAAATGCCCTTTGTTACGTTCGGTTCGCGTCCTCTTGCTCCTAGTAAGGCCAAGAGCCCCTGGTCAGTGGCCCTGGTCAGTGCCCTGGTCTTCTTTAGATCAACCAGTAAAGCCAACGGAACGAGAGCGACATGCAAGAGCGACCCGTCCATTCCCACCGTCTGACCCGTCTGACCCGTCGGAAACCTCAAAGTCAATCCATCCACTTCCTCCTCGCCGCAATATTCACGAGTCAAAACTAAACTCTTTCTTGGTTTGACGGTTTGACATGGTTTGACATGGTTTGACAACTTGACAACATCTGAGCAGTTTGTCAACTCAGACAACGACAGACGGGTGACTTAAAATTTGACAATTCCGCAGTGTTCAGAGCCTCCCATCGCGATGGGAGGGTCAAGATCTGCAGCTCCACAGCTTTGAAAGGTGATCGAGGTATTCGAAAGTTTGGAGCCAAAAAAACGCACGATTCGTCATGCAGTGAACATTCGTCTCTCTTAGCGCAGTAATCCCACAAAACGCTTCGATCCCCCTGGTTTTCAGTGCACACCTCGAGTGTCACATCAGCGGATGGCGCTCGTTCTCGCCCCACGTCCGGCGGATCTCGCGCGTGTTGAGCCGAGTTCGGTTGGCCGTTGACATGAGGGCCGTGGCTGTGCTGTGCCGTTGTGGCCGTGCCCTAGGCTCCTCAAGCCGCTCCAGGGCCGGTGACACAGTGGAGACTGAGCTGAAGTTGGCAGAGATGGCTTTGAAGCACAGAAAAATTATGAAAAAAAGTATCAGAAACGCCAAAAACAATCATGAATTCATCATCATTAATGATCAATTGTAGTCCATGTTTGGGAGTGTGTGATACACATGTGCAGATGAGTCAATCGTGCGCCTCGACTCTTTGCTGCGACTAAGTGGACCAATGCAAACCACTCGGAGGAACTTATCTTCACGTTTGTCATCTGTCTTTACCCCTCAAACCACCCCTCCTCTTGATAGATGCAGAGGCATCAATTTTGCACAGTTGGAAGAGCTATAAGGTATGTTGAATGCAAGATCTCTTCAGGTGATGTAGCCGCTCGTGGACGTTTTCATTCGTGGATTGCCTAAGATTCGTGGCCCACGCTGCATAGGTCGCCGGTCGACCTTCCAATTTTCATCGCGGGGTCCGACCCCAGGTGGTCCAGTCTCCTGGTCCTTTTCAGGTATCCTGTTGTATGGTTTTTCCAGGTAAAGTGAGGTGAGTTCCGGAGAAAACGACGCCTCGTTGGACCGCGCAGGGCATCCCAGTCGCCAGCCTCCAGGACTGGATTTTGGTGCGCGGGGGAAGAGGGGAGACCTTGTGGAGACATAGCGTTTTGGAGACATGGACAGAGATCTTTTCGTACATCCACTCAATCAAATATTTTTGTTCATATTTCCAGGGAGCTCCGGCACCCTAACAGAAGAACCCTTGAAAAAAGAGGCCGACGCACCAGTCGGCTAGATAGAGACCCGATCGGAATCCAGTCGTACCGAACCTCAGGTTCGGTACGACTGGACCCTCCAGAGACATGTCTCAGTGTCGAACACATCACCGTATGGTGCCGGTGGATCAATTTTGCTGGTACCTAGCGCTTCCAAGAGGTGCCCAATGGAGACCTGTAAGTAGTGTGGAGATGTCCATTGGTGACCCCCTGGAAGCAGCTGGCTATAGGTCGTGTTCTTTTTTGCTTCTGGGGGTTTGTGGGGTGTTCGATGAAAACGACGAGGTGAACAAAGAGAACTCGACATGCCGGGACGACTGCGCGGTCCTGCACCAGTTCGTTGTCAGAGACAGTTCAGTTCTTTCCGCTGGAGTAAATCCCAATCCATGAGACAGGAACCAGCACCACCCAAAGAGTGGTTTATAGACTCCCCTGAAGATGTATTTCCCATCTAATAACCACCCCTTGGGTGGTGCTGGAATATATAGTTTATATGATCATTAGACCCTGAAAGAGTCTCAAACGTGCCCCAAATAGGGCCGATGATTGCCATTCCATACCCCCGACTAAACACACAGGTCCCCACCGTCGCGACGTGAAAACGTCTACAAGAACGCCTCCAGCCATGGGAGACCAGTGTGGCTCGGTGTTGGTATACGGCTACCTATGCCACCTATGCTGCTGAGCTGTTACATGTGACTCCGCAAAAAGCCATCGCTCCTGCCGGCGTTCGCCATGCGGGTTCAACGTCGGTTTTTCACCTGCGTCAGGAGGAGCAGTCCTCCAACAACACCAGTTCCAGCAAGCAGGGCTTCGTATGTCGGGGCGCCGAGGTCGACGACGACAAGAGGTTGATTTGGACGGTTTGAGGGGGGCGTCCTTGGTTGGGGGAATCTACAGAGCCCCGAGAATTCAATTAAGGAATCCGAAGAGCAGTCTCCAACCTACTTGCGATGGCCTCCAACCTAAGTATAGTGTGTTTAATAAATGTTTGAATGGACATAGTGAGCAAAAAGATGAAACACCTCCTGGACCCTACTTCAAGTTGCCTTGAATGGGACATGACACGACCCTATTGAGACAAAGGAACAGGCAACAACCGGTAAATACTAGACTGTATACGGGCTGTCCTCATGTTCAGAGCTACGCGTCCGGGTCGACGTCGGAGTGCCACCGATGCCGATCGACTCGGACGTGCGACTCGGCACGTCCCGGACGTGAGGACAGTCTCAGACTGGACACTGGACATCACTGGACCCATGGGATTGGATGATTGGCCGACATCCAGAGTCAAGTCGACTATATAAAGAATGGTCTTGACGAGTTCGGTGACCCGAATCGTCAAGGAATATCCTGGTCCAACTGTAGCCGGTAAGGACATCTGGTCCAACTGGACTTCTAGGGACAAACGAACCCCTTTCAGCACCCGAATTTCTGGGTTTTCCTATGCCAGTCCCATCAGTCGTGTGGCATGAGTCGAGACTTGATCCTGGTGCTAGAGCACCTTGTGGAAATAACCTCGTGGGTCTCAAACTTCCTGGTCACACGTCTTTCAAAAGCAGCAGCCAGCTGTTCATGTTCGTGACTCGGTGACCCAAAGGCCCATCCGGTAGTTCGGTTACGGAAGGAGCAGACCGGACCCGGGCGCGCCGGAGACGTGTGAACAGATGGGAGAGAAGGATGAACTTCCATCATAACATCAGGGACCCCGATGAATCATGGACCCGAAGAGCGAGTTTTGTTTCCGAAGTTTCTAGTTTAGCAAGAAGCGATCAGGTGGAGGCCATCGCTAGTAGGTTGGAGGCCATTACTATACTAGGAACAAGAAACTACTACCCAGACGCTCATTGGACCCTCACAACTAGGGTTTTGGACCGAACCAACATGTAGCAGTTGGTTCGGGTCCAGGGTGGCGTCTGAGTGGGTCCACAATCACATACAACAACAAGGTAAAGGGGTGTCCTGCCTGGAGGTCCCTTAGTAGTGTAGGGGCTTCCATTGGTGACCCCTTTGAAGGTGCTGGTATACCATGTTTGGAGCAGTCGTCGATGCTACCGGGGAATGCCCACTCTCGCCTTCATCACTCTCTCTCACCTCATCTCACCTCCTCGCCATGCTGCCCACTCATGTGAGGCATTGCCCTGCCCACCCGATATTCCGATGCCAAGCTTCTCACAGCCTTGCCAAGGCACGGGGACGGAAGCGGGCGGCCGTTTCAGCCGAAGCCGGGACTCGTTTGCGATGTTGCTCATCAAAAAATGGATGTTAAAGGCCAGGCCAGGAAACTCCTACAAAGGGGTCACCTCATTTAAAACTCCTATAGACGTCACATCGGGCAGGGATCTCGGACACGCCTTCTGAAGAGGTCATTTCTTCCACCTTCAAAGTGATTGAGATCCCAGGGATTTTCGATATACCACGGATTCGACCCCTAAAAGAGGTCAACCCCAAAATCTCGGATTCGACCGTTCCAAGAGGTCAACCCCCAAATGTCGCTCGTCAACGGTCACGCGCCGCGCATGTTCGCTCGACCGGTCGAGCATCGGATCGCGTCTGGACACCCGTCGGTCTCGTGAGGAGCCATGGCGCCGTACAGTTTTCAAGGCCGGCGCCATGTTTCGGGGGGAGACCGCGCGGTGCGCGCCGCCCTGCCGGGCGAAGCGGTTTCAATCGGTCGGACCGTGGCGAGCGCGTCGAGGTGATCGAGGTGAAGGAGAGTCTTCTGCGCATGGAGGGAGAGCGATCCTTTCTTTTTGGAAGCGATCCGGGGCTGATCCACGGTGGTAGCTGTGACCAGTGTTTTTGGGGGAGGTGGGGTGTTTCGCGTGTGAAAGAGCTTAGGGATTACACTCCCGAAAACTTGGAAAACCACCTGTTTGTAGTGGAAAATGGTCTTCCAAGGGGCCATTCTCCACTTCCATGTTAGTTCCAGGGAGTGTAATTTATATTCAATTAATCCGATGCATTGGGGACGCACATTTAGAGGGGGGCAGGATGGCTCGAAGAAGAGGTTGGCTTGACCAAAGAGGATGTGTGCGTGGCATGTGCGCAGCAATGGACAAAATGAATGTGAAACCACACCTCTTTTTCTGAGCAATTTGAACCCAGGTCAATTTGTCAAGAGGTTGTGGGGGTTCATGAAACTGTCACGAGACGCTTTGTTGATCAAATATCTAAATGCAGCATCATTCATTCTCATCGTAGTTTTTGCGATAGCCTCGAGATACGTTGTGTTCCGAGCAGGGGTTGCGTATACGCACGTCTTCCGCACTCGATCACTCAAAGCGTATACGCACCAAGAAGTCGCCGTGGTCGCAAACCCGATGAACATCGCGTTCTGTTCGGAAGCCCGGTGTAAGATCAGAAAACGGCTCCCCATTGGGAAATTGCTCACCCACCTCAAACAAAACAGAGGGGCGCCCGGAAAGTGCAGTATACAAATGAGGAAAAGAATGCATGCCCTATAACGCCTTTCAACCACCAATATGTTAAAGGTTTTTGCCACACCATTGTTTTGCTAAGGATTTTATACACTACAAAACCAGGTCGTTCCCATTCTTTTGATGTTTGAAGGCGGCCGGGCATGTACAGCACTTGTTTTGCGACATTCATCGCCACATCCGCCGACACACTGGACGATGGTGGATTCATCCTTCGGGGTCGTCGATGGGGTCGATTGGGCACCTGACGTCGTTTTCACACCGTGGCAGGTAGCTCCGGACACCTGGCATCTCAGCTTCCATTGGATGTTTGGGCTGCAATGCAGCTTTCAGATGCTTAAGAAGTCGTTCAATGATCAGTGATCGCATAATTTGGCATGTCATTTTTGCATCGAGATCGGATCTGTGCAGTTCATGCTGACAAGGTTTTTTGTCTTTTCCACACAGAAGTCCCCTGATAGGGGTTACCTTGACCTAGGCTACCGGCCTAGGAGAAGACGTTCTCGCTTGACTAGTCGACCTCGACCGGGGAACGACCGAAACCGTGGGATCGAACATCGAAACCCTTCCCGGTCGACCACGGAGACGGTCGACAGATGATGTGGAGACGAAGTGGACATCGGACCCACCCAAACGCGACCCGAGCTCGGCCCCCCTCAGCAACTGCTCGGTCCACTGCTACATGTTGGCTCGGTCCATTTCACCCTGGCTGGTTTCGGGTCCAAACCCGGACCGCGAACGGGTTGGGTCCTGCCACTGAGCGTCTGGGCACTGTGTTCGGCTTCCCGGTTTTCGGCTTCCATGGTCATCCCATACCCCTTAACTTATCCCAGTATGGAATCAGGGGGGTCCACCCCCCTATAAAACGGATTCATATATACAAAAAAGGGGTTCACCCTTGAAATCATAGAGACGACAAGGTTTCATATAGTTTTTACATGGGGGTCCACCCCCAAAATTATAGACAAGATGTTTTCCAAAAATCAACGAACATCACAACATGACCTGTGATTTTATAGAAAAATATTGTTGTCAGGAACTTGTCACACAAATCAGATTGCCTCTATACCTCAGAGCTTATGATTATATACAGACTTGGCGTTGACCTAAATGGTCGTCTATACGTTTGGGGTCATGAATTTATAGAGAATTGAGCGTTATTATATAGGCTGCTGAGGGGGCTTGGACGCTTGATTGTATAGATGTGATCTGCAACTCGCCGGCCCACGCTGCAAGTGATGGATCATTTTGTTTGTTCTCTTATTTCCCTTATAGACAGTCAAGAATCATCCATAATACAGCATAATATATTCTAATATAATTAGAATAACACCGGTTAAAGCATGTGTTTACATGTACCAACAGTCTACCATAGTTTACAAATATATACAGGTAAACATCACAGTGCTTCAAGATAGATCGGCGGGCGGAGTGTCAACGGCGCTTTGAAAGGGGTCGCAGCCATGAGTGATGCTCCAAAAAATTGCCCCAAAATATGTGTGCCCTGGCAGCCAGAAGATGTTCACCTGCTTCAGAGGGCACAATATTTTGATCAATTTTAGTGATGTGAGCTGTCTGGCAAATCACGTCGGACCCAGGGGGCCCGAAATTGTATAGAAAATATGCAACCGCCTCAATGGGATGCAGATCGTCAAGTGTGGCGTTTCCTGGCTTTGATTCATTGATGGTTGTAGTATGTGTGGCTGTCTCATGTTGTCTCAATGCCTTTCTGGTCAGCAAATGTTTGTGATTGTTTTCCATTATTCTGCCACCAAGTTTGCCGCTGCAGCATGCGATCCAACAACAGACCGTCGTGGCACTACTACTTCTACGATGACCAGAAGCTTGGACATGAAGTAGTGCTTCGTCAAACCCTGCTTTCTTTATCTTTCTTTGGCCTTCGTTCATAATCATTCTGCAATAGATGCGCCAAGGGAAAAGATCTGGGTTCACACCCTGGAAATTAGCCGAGCGAAGCCAAAGTTGACAAAGGCAAGGATTTGTTTATTGAATTCAATTGACATCTATTGATATATATATATATATCTATTGTATTCTATTGTATTGACATGTATTGACCATTTTTACATAGTTTTCTTTGCCTGGAGGCAGCGAAGGAATCGACGAAGAACAAGAATGGCGACACGGAAATGACTGCTCCTAAGGCAGAGAAGCCTGCCCGGGCCGCAGCCAGCAGTTTGATAGTGTTTGCAGATTTTGAGGACGCATTTTTGCTCGCATTTTTTGTGTGAAGATGTTGCAGATATATGGGAAAGAATTCAGTCATTGTATGGTCATGTATGGTCCTCCAGAATTCTGCCTCTAGCTCGGTCTTCGCGCACGTCTCTCTTCCTTTGGACGCCATGTTTCTTGCAATGCGGTTGTGGTGTGTGGCCACGTTCTTCCCTGTTGTCCTGGCTGCGCCTGATGTTTTGGCCCGGCTGGAAGAAGACACAACTAGCACCATGAAGGAGGAATTGTTCCTTGGTTTGTCTGAGGTGGAGGGAGCAAATGGGAACAGATGGAAACAGCTTTTTAAGTTATATATATATATCAGCTCCGATGAGGCCTCTATAAATGCACAAGTCCTGAGGCCAAGGGGTATTCTATAATAGATTCACGCAGAATCTAGTCGCAAAGCCTCCTTCGTGGTTCTGTCAAAAGGCTCTATAAAATGGTGAGTGCATACCTTCCCGCGAGCTATGATTATCATATTGCACTTGTAGTTTTCTATTGCAGGAGCAACATTTGTTTTGATATTGCTATATCTTGCTCTATGAATTCTTAAGCATAGACCCTACGAAGGGCCTGGAACAGTGTAAGCCTGGGTAAAGAGATGTAAAGAGTCTGAGGTGGTTCAAAGCGGAGGCGCATATTGGCTATTTGACACGGCTGGCCGAGCAAATGGCAGGTGAGAGCTCCGTGGAAGCAAACAGTTCATCTAATATTGATTTGCATTTTTTATTCACAGCCGTTAGTAAGTTTATGTGAACCGCATTTGCTCGCGCTGAGTCACTCCTGGGGTTCACTGCCTGGATTTGTTTGGGGCGTCAGAGTCAGTCAGGCCGGGTTTCATTCCAAGAGCTTTCTCATGTTTGCTCAGTTAGCTCATACAGGAGGTGCTGGCAGAAGGCTAGCTTTCAAGCGATATCGCTGGATGTGAAATTGATGGCCAGTCATGACGTCACAATCTTGGATGGTTGCGTAGAACTCCTCAGGATGGCACTGTCGCTACTTACTTGAACTATGTTGAACTGCTGACAACAGAGACTGTTAATGTTCCTATGTGTTCCTGAAGTTGGAGGTAGAAAGAGGACAGTTGCGTTTCGCTTTGAGGCTGCTTCCAGACGGAATAATTGTGGCTGGGCCGCCGTGCAGCCTGCAGGTGGCTGCTTCACAATCTGTCCATCGGAGGTCAGTCTCCAAGCCAATGGGTGACACTGGCAATTTTCGCACGCGTATCTCAAACCGGATATGGGTGAACTTCGTGCCTTTGTGGCAAAGCTATTACATGCCTTTACATGCTATTACGTCCGTTGTCTTGTATCAAGTTAGCGCTTGGATTCTTGATGGTGCCACCTTAGGGAATTTGCCTTTTGGTGATTTGGAGGTCTTCGTCGTGGGTCATTGAATGACATTTCAATTTGCTTGATGTTTTGCTGCTGGTTTGTTAATTTGTTCGATTGTGCACCACAGGACTAGACGGGACCTGAAAATCATAGTGGAGCAACCTTCTTCCTCTTGGGCCTTCAAAATGCCTATTATGAAAAGAGTGATCCGCGAACTCGCACTGCAGCTGGGATCCCGTACATGTGTGTGTGTGTGTGTTTGTTATGCATGTTCATGCTGTGTTCGTCCATGTGTTTCAACACGGCAATTGCGTTTTGCCGGCGCTGAGGAGGAAAGTGACTACATGGATGGGCTGCTTCGGTCATGACATGGCCAAGTGCTCGCACCTCTTTGTCAATTTCAAGACCGCAATTCAATATATTCGACAACCCTTCAACAAGACTTGAAGCATGCAAATGAAACAGATTGAAACAGTATATATATATATGTTCCAGGAGTGCAGATGATTTGAGACGCAAAATGACAGCTCCCATGCGACTCAAGATCAAGGAGAGTTTGGATGTTCCTCAATGTTTTTCCATTTTCTTGCAAATCTGTTTGCAGGC